GAATTTAAGGGTAATTCTTCATCATTTTCTAGCTTTCAGTGTCGCTACTAAAATCTGAAGCTTCTTCTGATTCTTAATTGTATGTTCGTATCCATTTGCTTGTATGTGTCTCTAAAGGATTGGAGGGTCTTCTTTTTGTCTCTAATAGTCTCAAGTTTCATGAATTCCCAAGTGTGAATTTATCTTATCCATTGTGCTGGATCCTCACCAAGTTCTTTCAACATGCTAACTCATGTCCTGTTCTTGAATTATTTTACTGATGATTTCTTCCCCATATTTGCTCTGTTCTTGGTTTCTGGGACTCTAATTATTTCAATATTGGATCTTTTAAACCAGTCTTCTCTTTTTTTTTTTTTTTTTTTTTTTTTTTTTTTTTTTTTTTTTTTTCTTCTCTTTTCTATCCCTTTGTATTTTTTGTTCTTCTTTCTGGAAAGTTCCTGAACATTTTCTCCAACACTTGTGAGATTTTATTTCAGCTATTATCCTTTTAATTTCCTAGAGCTCTTTCTTAGTTCTTCAAATGATCTGACTTATTTGTATAGCACCCTAAAAATTAGGCAGTTTCTTTTTTTAATGTTTATTTTTGAGAGAGTGAGAGCGAGTGCGTGAACAGGGGAGGGGCAGAAAGAGAGGGAAATAGAGGATCCAAAGTGGGCTCTGTGCTGAGAGCCCCATTTGGGGCTCAAACTCATGAACAGTGAGATCATGACCTGAGCTGAAGTCGGATGCTTAACCAACTGAGCCACCCAGACACCCTTAGGCTGTTTCTTAAACAGGTTTGCAACTAGTCCTTCTTATTCTAAGCCCCACCTCTCCCTCTCTCCACTTCCACAGGTTCTCAGGGAGTCTAATTAATGAATCTTCGGAGGAATGATTAACTTATTGCCTCTCCATATTACTGGCTCTCTCTGGTCTGAAACTCTCTGGTAATGAATCAATTACCATTAATTCATTTTCTTTACATCTTCCTTTAAGAAAAATTTTTTTAATGTTTATTTATTTTTGAGAGAGAGAGACAGCAGACTGCAAGTGGGGGAGGGCCAGAGACAGAGAGGGAGACACAGAATCTGAAGCAGGTTCCAAGCTCTGAGCTGTGAGATCATGACCTGAGCCAAAGTCAGATGCTCAACCAATGAGCCACCCAGGCACCCCTTCTTCACATCTTCTAATACTTAATAGTGCGTATTTATTTTTACAACAATTTTTTTATTTATGTTAAATGCTATTTCGTTATTATTTGTATAGCAATGTACAGCTTTTTTCTAAAATTGACTTAAGGTGTTTTAAAAGGAGAGTGAATGAAAATAAATTCAATAATAGTACACATGGTTTGTGGCTACTGTAAAATAAATATTAAATTTAGGATACTTGTGATCATAAAACAGAGGAAATTCAAAGTAATATGATCGATAGTTAAATGATTATTTTCCCTTCCTCTTGTTTTCTCCCTCTAATTAAGATATATTGGTGTACCTCAGTCTCATATATCTGATTTTTTTATTGTCACCACAGTTTTTACAATGTTTAAACATCATTTTTATTTTCATTGTGCCACTGTTTTCTTGTGTTTGTTGTGAAGCTCTTTACAGCCAAACTGGATGCTGCTAAAACAAAGCCAGCTGTGTTTACTGGACTTTGTAAAGTCCTAATAATTCACAATGAGATTAGCGTCGCTCCTTATGTACTAAATGCTTGCCAAAGTATTCATGATAAGACAGAAGAAGAAGAAACAGAATTACAAATGAATGACTACCTTGGTTTTTAGCCCAGTGTGTATGGGAAATTGTTATGCATTTGGTTACTTTCTGTTGGGGATGCATGTGATAATTGGGTGTTTGGCTGAGCTGAGTTATATCACACATAGGACTCATTTGCCTCTCATAGTTATCAGAACTTAATCTTACTGGAAAGGATTAGGTGGGGTGAATGCCTGGAGTGTCATTATCTTAAAAGACATCCTCTATCTTTCCTACCATATTGCTTGTCTGTGTGATGCAGATATCAGAACATCATTGCTCATCACTTGGGCAACTGTCCAAAGTACGTGTCTGGAGACAAAAGTGTCTGAAAGAGTTCTCATTTTTGAGAAAGCCTTTTTAAATAATTGCATTGTGACACTTTTAAGAGAAAGAGTAATAATTAATAATTGTTATTATTGCCCCTTGAAACATAAACGAGAGAGAATAGAACTTTGATATCAGAAAGTAATGGAAAAAGAAGTAATGATAAGGTGTGGACACTCTAAAGGGCTGAGGCTGGTTTTTTTGAAAGATCTTAAGCTCAGAGTTACAAGTATGGCCTAAAGGCCATACATCTGGGTTTTTTTTTCCCTGTAATTAAAAATGTTAAATATGTACATAACAATAGACCACACTCATAAACTATCTTATTAAAGTTGGGTTTTCTTTGATTGAGTTGTTTGATTATATTCATATTTTGATGGCATTTTCAGTGATTTTTAGAGGATTAAATAAACTAATATTTGGTGATAGTCAAAGGAAAACCTCAGAAGAAATTCTGATCATATTCACACAGATAAAATGATTTCTTCTCATCAAGTTAATACCTTCCATATTCCTGACTTGTTCTTATTTAAGGGAATTATTTTTACTTAAGTGTCTAAACTGTTGTATTGTTGAAGAATCTCTGTTAAGATACATATAAATGCTGTATTTCATATTCAGATGTTTTGCTTTTGATATACCATCAGTCAGAAAATATATTTTTAGTTGTTTTTTTATTTATTTTTCATTTTAGAGAGAGAGAGAAAGAGAGCACATAAGCAGAGGAGAGGGGCAGAGGGACAGAGGGAGAGAATCTCAAGTAGGCTCCATGCTCAGTGCAGAGCCTGACACGGGGCTCGATTCCATGACCCTGGGATCATGATCTGAGCTGAAATCAAGTCATACGCTCAACTGACCAAGCCACCCAGGCACCCCTAGTTACTTTTCTCAGTATTCATAATAGATTTACATTTTTTTCCCATCCACTTCACCCCGTCCTCTTGGAAACCAACAACATCTCTCTTTCCCTTTCTCCCTCATTCCCTCCTTACCATCCTGTCTCCTTACATCCCTTCCTCCCATCCTTAATGGATTTTGTGTAAATGGGTAGAAAGTGCAAGATAAATCACACTAAAGCAGCTCTTTACTCCCTTGCAAACCTTTAATATTTACTTTGAATTTCCTCAAAAGAAAAAAAAAAAAGGTTGCCACTTGGTTTGCTTCTGTCTTTGTCTTTATTATAGTATCATCATTTTCTCAGCATGTGATAAAGCTCCTCGGTCTAGTATTCATGACCACTGTGCAATTTTTTTTGGAAAAAAAATTCAATGTAAAATAAAAGCACATGACAGAAAATCTGAAATCTATCATTTCAATCTACAAATATTCATTGAGAAAATATGTATGTCAGGCTGGAGATAGAGTGATGACAGAGAAATTGAGCATAAACTGATAAATAGGGAAACAAAATGATTGCAGATAGTTGATAAATGCTACAATAAAAATGAAAATGGGGAGATGTGTCAGAGAGTGACTGGTGTGTGTATGTGTGCACATCCACATGATAATCAAAGTTCCCTAGTTTCTCATTTTTCAAATGAAGAGTTTTGTTAGATGATCTCTAAGGTGTTTTCAGGCCTTTTCTAATGATAAACTTTTCTAATTTTATCCAAAGTTTTTTTAGATCCATTTCACTATTCCAGTGATGTGGTGTGTTGTCTGTCCCTATTAATATTTAGAAATAATAACTAAAGAATAAAAAATTCACCTATTAAGATTGGAAAGCTGTCTATATTCTTACCTACCAAAAACAAATACACAAACAGACAAAAACAAAAACAAAACCCCCAAAACTGAAACCAAACAAACAAAAAACCTAAAGGAAAACCAAATTCAAAGCACAATTTCTGTCCATGCCTATTTACAGTGTCTCTTTATTTGCCTCTTGACATAAAAAGGCTTTTAGAAACCTGACTTCTCACTAAAAAATGCATGACAGTGGGTTGGGGAATGACATGACCAAGCTTTCAGCTTGTTTGCTTCCTGTGAACTGCTTGGCCAATTGGAATGACTCTATTCTCATGTCAGAACTCCGAAAGAGAGAGTCAGCCATGTGTGCTCACTTGTATGTAGCCATTTGAAGATCTGTTGGTTAAGAAGAATTCCATGTGGAAAATCATGCAAAGTCATGTGATAGCAATGATTAGTGACAGTGGTGGCATTAATAATATTCAGAGAACTGTTGCATTTATTAGAAATGTCTTCTGGGAACTGTGGTAGAACCTCTGAAACATTATAAATTCAACTATTCAATTTGGTAGAAGAGAGAAGACAATGATTTCTTTCGTCTATACTTGGCAAGTCATGTTTTAAATAATGAATTTATTTTCCTTGCTAATAATCACAAAAATATCTCCAGGAAGATGTAGTTTTCTTGGTTGTCTTTGCAAAAAAAGGAATTCTGAATTGTTTCCCACTATTATTATGAATCTTGTCATTAAAAAAAAAAACAAAAAAGGTAAGTGGAACATGGATGGAAATCCTGCTTTGAGTCCTTTTTGGTGGACAGATATACTCATGTGTTTTCTTTTAGGTTTTTAGTAGTAGGATGTTTCAGTCTGGCTTCTTTCTGTCATCCATTGCTCTTGCTTTATTTTTAGAAATTGTGTACAGGGTCACCTGGGTGGCTTAGTTGGTTAAGCGTCCAACTTCAGCTCAGGTCATGATCTCACAGTTCATGAGTTTAAGCCCCACATCGGGCTCTCTGCTATCAGTGCAGAGCCTGCTTTGGATCCTCTCTGCCTCTCCCCTGCTCATTCCCTCTCTCTCTCTCTCTCAAAAAATAAATAAACATTTAAAAATAAAATTGTATGCAGCCAAATGGAGGAAAAATAAAGGAGAAAAACAGTTTCAGGATTAATGATAAAAATCACAAAAATGAAAAGGAGTTAATAAGACAAATGTCTGTGAAACTGATATTATTTATCTCTATTATAGAGGCAAGCCAAACTTACTGGACATGGGCTCTTTGATGATCAAACCAATCCAGCGTGTAATGAAATACCCACTACTGCTCTGTGAACTCCAGGGCTCCACCCCTCCCTCTCACCCAGACTTCAGGGCGCTCGGGGATGCCTTCACTGCAGTGAAAGACATTAATGTGAACATCAATGAACTTAAAAGACGGAAAGATTTAGGTAAGAGGAGACATGATGAATTGAGTGTTTTCTGTGACTGGAGTGTTCTGCTTCTGAGAATCAGAATATCTAAGTAGTTACAGCAGTTGTGGTGATCATGGTCATCTGATATCTAGAGTTAGAGGCCAGGGAGGAGAGTGTGATTTTGTCTGGGTTCAGGAGATCATGAGGCACACACACACACACACAAAAGAAAATGACAAATTTTTAAAAATTAAGCAGCCCTATACTCAACCTCTGTTGCCCACTGCACGCCTGGTGACATACTGTGGCCTGAAGAAACCATAGCGCGTCGTCCTCCTGTCACTGGCGGTATGTGTGGCAAGGAGAGATGGCGTGGCCAAGTAGCTGGAGCCGTGGGAATCTAGAGCTTGGTGAAACGGATGGTGAAACAGGTCCAGCTGCTGCTACATAGAACTCATCTGGTTCTGGCACATTAGGAATGGAGATTTTGTAGCAATAATTGTTTCACTGAAGTGAACAAGTATATTTCTTTCTCAAATTAACAAATTATTGCTAAGCATTTGTTAGCTAAGATGTAAAATTTGTGTCTGAAGTGGAATGTAGATTTCAGAACAGGAGGCACAGTTATATGGTTTCTATCATCCTGGATATAGTAATACAGTGGGATAGATTGTAGGTCCTCTCGTAGTGTAATTTGTGTCCGTAAGTTCACAAATGGCTTTGTGCTTCTAACACTAAAGCTCAATTCAAGGGGTGCCTGGGTGGCTCAGTCGGTTAAGCGTCTGACTTTGGCTCAGGTCATGATCTCACGGTTCATGGGTTCGACCCCCGAGCCTGGAGCCTGTTTCATATTCTATGTCTCCCTCTCTCTCTGCCCCTCCCCCGCTCGCGTTCTGTCTCCCTCTGTCTCAAAAATAAATAGACATTAAAAAAAAAATTAAAATAAAGCTCAATTCAACATTAAAGCAATGGTAGGACTTTGGAGCTAACTGCTCCAACAACTTCATTTATTTTTATTGTTTTTATTTTCTAATTTTTATTCAAAAAATATGTATGTATATTGATAAATTAAAATTATAAAGAAGGGCCCAGAATAAAAAAGTGGAAGTTGTAGAGGAAGAGACACCATAAAGAAAATTAAAAGACAGTCCATAGGCAAAGGATTACTATCTAGAATGTACAATTACTGATATTAAATCATTAATAAAAACATTTTAATGCAGAAAGGATTAATAATAAAAGTAAGCAATTCAGAAAGAAGAATAAATTATTATTTTTTTTCAGGGGAACAATACATTTTATTTAATTTTCCTTAGAAAAAGTTTTTTTGATGTTTGTTTATTTTTGAGAGACAGAGACCTAACATGAGTGGAGGAAGGGCAGAGAGAGGGAGGCACAGAATCTGAAGAGGCTCCTGGCTCTGAGCTGTCAGCACAGAGGCTGATGCAGGGCTTGAACTCGTGAACCATGAGATCATGGCCTGAGCTGAAGTCGTACACTTAACCGACTAAGCCAATCAGGTGCTCCTCTTTGTGTTTTTTTTTCTTCTATTTTCTTTCTTCTTTCTCCTTCTTCTCCTTCTTCTTCTTTCCTGCAACATGCATGGCACTACAGTTTGCTGGGATTTGTTTTTAAATTTAATTATCATGAACCTTTTGATCATAAACGTAAATATCATGGACACGTTTCTAATTAATATTGGCCTTCTTTTTACTGGTTCTCTAGTATTCTATTTCTGAGTGTGTCATAATTTATTAAACTATTCCTTTATGAATAAACCTTTTGATTGTTTCCAACATTGTGCTATTAGGAAAAAATGCTGTAGTAAACAAAACTTTGTATGCTTGACTATGGAAAACAGATTCTCTGCATGACTTTCTGATCATAGACGACACTTTTAGAAGATTCTGCCAAATTGTTCTCCACAAAACTGCATTGGTTTAATCCTCACCAACAGTGTATTAAGATTGCCCATCTCTCCACACCCTTACCAAAACTGAATGTTAGAAATATTTAACATCTTAGGGCACCTGGGTGGCTCAGTCAGTTAAGCATCTGACTTTGGCTCAGGTCAGGATCTCCAGCCCCGCATCATGCTCTCTGCTGTCAGCACAGGGCGCACTTTGGATCCTCTGTTCCCCCCTCTGCCCCTCCCCCACCTAAGATTTTTTTCTCTCTCTCTCAACAATAAACATTTAGAAAACAAAAAGAAATATTTAACATTTTGAACAATATGAGAGATGAAATTTATTTCAAAGATAAAAAAGTAAAGCTCAGAGAGGTGACTCAACTTACCCCAAATCTCTCAGCTAGTGGAGAGCCACTCTAGGGTCTGAGGTCTCCTTGTGTTGGATCCAGTTTTCTTACCTAGGTCATGATGCTTCATCCTAGAGACTGAAGATAATAAATGTATTATTTGAGGAGAGAGAAAGCTTTTCAGGGATTTCTTTAATGTGGGAGGTAAATGCACCTTGAGCTTTGAGGTGCTCAAGCCCTTGGACAGCTGAGTTTCTGGTCAGCAGGTTGGGCAGCTGGGGTTATGACTGGGCAGTAGCACTGGAACATATTGCATCTGCATCAGAGGGTCAAAAATCATTGAGATTTCTATCTTAAATATTGATCTTACGTACTTTGGATGAAACACGCTCTTTCCATGTTGCATGTGTTCAGATCTGTGATTGCATTCTTCCATTTCAGTTCTAAAATACAAGAAGAATGATGAGGATGAATCACTTAAAGACAAATTGTCTAAACTAAATATTCATTCAATTAGTAAGAAATCAAAAAGAGTGACAAATCATCTAAAGATTCTGACCAGAGGAGAATCGCAGGTAACTTTTCTTTTGGGGTCACATACATTCTCCTGGGGAGCATGAGTGCTGATATTTGTGTAAGGTTTTGTTTGGTTGTTATCAGAGTTGTTTCTAGAACACTGAGAATCAAACTAATTGCCTGATGCTGTTCCTTTCTTTCTCCTTCTTTTAAAACTCTTTTTTTTTTTTAAATTAAGTTTCTTTATTTTTGAGAGGCAGAGAAAGACAGAGCATGAGTGGGGGAAGGGCAGAGAGAGAGGGAGACACAGAATCCGAAGTAGGCTCCAGGCTCTGAGTTGTCAGCACAGAGCCCAATGCAGGTCTCGAACTCACGTACCGTGAGATCATGACCTGAGCTGAAGTCGGACACTCAACTGACTGAGCCACCCAGGCGCCCCACTTATTCTTTTGGAGGAAGTCGAGTGGGGGTGGTTTTGATGCTATTTTAGCTGTGGTGCTTCCTTCCACTCAAGAAGGAAAGGAGAGATAAGGGTGTGAGGACAGGGCTCAACAAGGATGTCCCAGAAGTGCTGACACTCATCATCAACCAGTGTAGTCTCGCCCAAGGCAAAGTCCTCCTTTCATCTTATCTTTATTTCACTTATATTTTTTTTTTAAAAAAGGGTGTAGGTGCACACCTTACATGATTTTTTTTCCCTACACTTATCCTCTTCCTCTCTCCCCACTCCTATGCACATTAAATTACTGGATAATTGTTCTGTGTCAGCTGCTTAGCCTGGTTTGAACCACTTTCATCTTGACTTCTAACAAATAATGGATGGACTAGCAAAGACTCTCAGACTTTAATGTACATAACAATTACCCGAGGAGCTACCAGGGTTCCATCTGGTTGAAGGCACAACCTAGGAGTCTGTATGTTTTACAAAAACTCCAGGTGTTTTGAAGCTAAATGACCTCGAAATAAGTGACCAATGGAACACACTTTGAGAATCACAAGATGGAAAGTTCACAGCCTGGAGATAATAATTCAGTGGCATTCTAACCAAAAGTAGGCAGGGCAGTTCTTAAAATACCATATAGCACTTTTATTCCTTCTCATTTGCCTGATTTCAACCCTTATTATGTTAACATCTCTAAGGTTTTTAGTGTGAACTAGAGGCAACCAACCGTATGATGGTTCAGCATTGGTTTTAGATGGCTTGTCCTATCTACTTCACTTGCTAGCTGCCAGAGTCTTTCCTTTTTCTGTTAAGTCTGCAGCTTTCTGACCCTAAGACCCTCTTCTTCTTCTGAATGCCTAAAAAGCTTACTGAGTGTTTCCAATCTCGGCACCATAAATATTTGCAGGAGTCAGCGCAGGGCAGAAATTAAGAGCAAAGTCATCCAGATCTGGCTTTGAACCTCACCTCTTCCACTTAATAAATATTTGCCTTTGGGCACATAACTTAAATTCAAAGCATTCATAAAGATTATAGTAGGACCTAACTCATGGAGTGGTTGTAAGGATTAAATGAGGTGATGCTCATGAAGAAAATACCTAACACAGTGGGTAAGCACTCAATATATATTAGCTGTCATGATCATGGTCATCATCATTATCATCATCATCATTATTTTATATCATTATTGTGAGAAAAAAGCCCACTGACCCAATCAAAGAGGGACGCAGAGACTCAGAGCACAGTGAAGCGAGGCTTTAATCAATGTTCTTGCAAGAGTGGGTGTCTGATGGACAGGCACACTCCGGGCAGTTACGGTAGGCAATTTATTTCCTAGCATGCAAATCCGTCCCCTGATTCCTCATTGGCTGAGTGCTACAAAGGTTACAGCCTTACCCGGACATCGCCTATGCCCTTTTAAGGCAAAAAGCAGTCTGATTGGAACAAATGTACATTCCTTGAGGTGATGCGGAGACTTCAGTTCTTTGGCAGAGGCTTATTGCAAAGCCCACAAAAAATAAGCCTGCAAAATGGAGAGGGGAAGAAGAACCAGGAAGTGAAGTATCTAAGGGTTTGGGGCTCCACTGTGGAAGGACGGGTTCGCACATACTTCCAATAGGTTGTAAACCTATTAACTAGACAGCACAGCTTTTATTTGGTATTTCGGGAAATGAATCATCTCATTTCTCACAATTACCTTGTCTTATTATTTACCTTTTAATGTACAGACTTACTTCTCCTGTAGATATAAACTCCTTTATGCATGGTGTATTAATCAGGTCTTTTATTTTCTATATTTTATGATGTTTTTAACGCCTTGGAAAAGCTCCTGGCCACGAGAGAGGCTCCTCCCAGGGCTAATCCATTCTTAAGGATAGCAAAGGGCTCAGCTGGGATCACTTCTTTCATATGCATACCAACCAATCCTGAGTCTATAGCTCCAAACACCTGCTTATCTATGTCTCACCCAGTAAGCCTGTATTCCTTTGCCTTAAATCATCCTAGGGCCAGCTACCAGGCAACTAGAGACAATCCCTATTGCCCAAAGCCCATGGGAATTCTCTAAACTGGTCAGTCCTGAACTGTTTATCCTTACCCAGCTGTTTCTATAGGGTTTCCCACAGAAACCACAATAAAGGCTCTGGCCTTGACTTTCCCCTTGCTCCTTTCTGCCACCTGACTGAAACCTAGTGATTGTCCTGTGGCCCTGCATGGCATGCAGTGACTTCCTCTCTAGGACTTGTCAATATAATCAACTTCTTCCAAGCCTTGTTTTTGTTTTCCTGTGTGGCTGCACCTACTTTACCATTTCATAGCCAACAGGGATATTTTCGGAGTCCGTGGCATGTACCGTTCATGCTAGTACTTTCTTCATGTTCTCCTAGGGCCTCACTGGGTCCATTGCATGCAGACAATCACTCCAGGCCCCTCTCTTAATGTGAAACTATAATGTGAGAAGTTTGGGACATCGTGGTGTGTGGTCATAGGTCAGGGAAAGGAAAATCAAGACATCTGAACTAAAAACAAAAATAATAAAATCGGACTGGGAATTCAGTTTGAGAAGAGACTGTAGCCTCCACAGGCATGTGTAAATGTCATGCACACAATTCTCCCCTAGTCTTTAAGATGCTGCTTCTGGCTTAAGACAATTCTATTGAAGAACAATAGGAAGGTTTAATTCTGGGCAGGTTTTTGTAGAAGCAGTTACATTCTTTAACATATTTATCATCAGCTTCTGATATTTTCCAATTGTGAACTAAAAGTGAATTGTAGGTAAAGTGGCCTGAAGGGATATTAATTAGATTTTCCCCTTAATCTTTTGAGAAGATGTCCTGTCAGCAATGAAGCATTTCACTGTTAATCAGAAAATCAGCTGCATAGGCTGAACTGCAGAAGAGATAAATCTCAAATCAGTCAATTTTGCACTTGTCAGCAGCTCAAGTGAAATATTTGGTGGAGTTAGGGTATAAAACTATTACCCAAGAGGAAGATTCCATTCAATTCATCACACATGTATTGAACTATGTACCAGACACTATGTTAGAGATTGGGAATACAAAGAAATTCTGCATTCAGACTCCTTGGGTTTGAATCCTGGCTCTACTTATTAACATGAGTACATTTCTTTAACTTCCTATATTATTTAGGGTAAAGGCCAAGCTTCTAACACAAAAAGATTCCAAAACAAAGTAGCTTAAGCCAGATAGTCATTTATTTCTCTCTCTTACCATAGTCCTGAGATGTGAATTCAGATGAGCTCTGCTGCACAAAATTCTTTAGGTACCCGGTTATCCCCAGTTTGTGCTGTGCCTTCCCCTAAACATACTGTCTTCATTGGCTTGGTTGAAGCTAGGTCACTGCTGTGTCTTCAGTCAAGTCCCAAGGACAATGTTACAAGGCCAAAATTCAGAAATGACACACATCCTTTAGCTCACATCCTATTTGCCCAAACCAGTTACAAAGGGCAGAGCCAGCTGCAGGGGAGCCTGGAAAGAACAGCCACATGTCCCACTTAACCCAGGGTGCAGATCCTATCAGCAAAAGGACGACAGGGAACATCAACTATATCTGCCACACCTCTCAAGCTTCTATTTCTTTATCTCTAAAATGGGATTAATAGTGGCACCTAGGCCATTGAGTTATATAAGAATTAAAATGAGAAAAATGGAAGACAGGTTTTAAGCACAGTGTCTGGAATATGGTGTTTAATAAATGTTAGCTATTATTATTATTATTATTAAGAAAAAAGTACTTAATCTCAAATGCTTGTAATTCATCAGTGGAGAGAATCACTTAAATAATTAACTAGAGCTGTGAGAGCACATGGGGGAGCAATTAATTTTCTACAGTGGAAAGAATAGGAATTCAAGGGGGGATTCACAGAAGGGGTGACAGTTGAGTCCTTAAGAAAATTAAACAGAATTCTGCAAGGCAAAAAAAGGACAGCAGCATATTCCAGCAAAATAAAGTAGCATGAAAAAGACTTGGGTATAGGAACATAAAACTGGGCAATATTTCTCATACTGTGATCCTTGGAATCTCTTATTTTTGAATCATCTGGATCCCAGCCAAGATACACAAAATAAAATAGCTGGCAATGGGTCCTTGAAAATTGCATTTAAAATAATCTGCCCTGGCATATTGTTCTTTAAATCAAATGGGGTTAGAGCATAGAGATCCTAAGCTAGGGGGTACTGAATGTTGTGTGAATTACAAAGAACTGCCCATTTAATCAAAAGCTTTCTAGATAAATAATATTAAGGGGTTTAAAAATAAAATAAAAATGAAACCATTTTCTATACATTCAGTTCTAAGGTCAACCATCTTAAATCAACAAACCTATGAACAGAGAACAGCTATGGTTACTACTGTTGTGGGATTTTTTACCTTAATATCTGGATTCCCTGTCTTGCCGCTTCGAAGAATAAAGAGGTGGAGGCAGAATAAAATGAGCAGCAGGCAAAAGTTTGTTAGAGTATGAGAAAATAAGAATAGTATGAAAGCTCTCTTTACAGAGAGGGGGCATTCGAAAGTGAATGCCCCTGACTATAGACAAGGGTCTTTGTTTCACAAGGTTTTAACCCTAACCACCCCCACTCCTCATCCGCCCACCCCCGCTTCCCTTCCCCCATGTTTCTTCTCAGGTTCTACCCTTATTTATAGGTAACTCCAAATGCCTTGTCTATTAATTATTTTACGAACACACAAATGTAGCATAATTTAAGTACATACATAATATATGCCATTAAAAACTGCAGAGAAAAGTTTTACCTCCTACAGCTACCATCGCATAGATGAAGAAGCTATGTGAAAGCTGAGAGCAGATTAACCTCACCATGTGACTTTGCTCCACTAATTGAACATCAGTCGTGCTGTGTGCTGGTACACAGCAAGTGCCGTGCTGAGACGGTCAGCATGACATGAACGGTTTTCATCTCAACAAGGAGTTTTTGGTTTTTTTTTATCATGTGCTAGGCTAATACAGTCCATGCTATTTTTTCAAAACACCAGATTTGTTTGAGTTATAGAAATAATTTCATCTCTATTTTAGGTAAAAGACAATACCTTTAATAGGGAAGAAAAGCTATTTAGATCTTTAGAAAAGACGGTGAGGCATTGTGTGAAGAACATTTCGCTCTGTCTTCAACACGTACAGGTAGGTGAGACAACTGTTTTTGAAGTTTCTATAAGAAGATCTTAATGTCCATGGTTATTACAAAGAGTAAATGTGAATGTTCATTTGTTTATATGATCGAATTTATATGATAAAATTCATTGTATCAGATTTGGGAGGCTGCCAACTGCAGGTGAGGGAAGCCAGTAGAAACATTTAGATTTTGCTCTTTGTTCCCTTACCTGCCCCATTTCTTCTCCCAGTCGAAGTCGCCATGTTGTGGAACATGTGCTCACATGATGCTTGACCACGTGGTGCTGGGCCATCAGCATGCTTTCCTTACAATTGAGATGAATTCATTAATGCAAAATGAATTTAGCAGAAATTTTCTTTATTTGTTGTATTATACTAACACATCCCTTTCTAGTACCTAGAACACATATTTGCAAATTTAAAAGTAGGACTGAAAGAAAAAAGTAAATCAAAGAGGGGGCATAAAATGAAATTAGAGAAGTTACAGAGTGAAAAGTACATAACATAAAGGCCATATAAAAACCACAGAAACTGGGTCTCAAATTTAGCTGTAACCTTCTGAGAAGCCAACTTAAGAAAGGACATGTGATCACACAACTCTGGATGAACTGAGCACCTCTATTTATTTTATAACCAGTGTTTCATAATGCTCCCTTTACAGTTCTGAATGAAATTCACCAGTAATTCAACCCAAGGTAGGTAGGTTTATGTAAAAGAAAATAAACTCTAACAAAATACTAAGAACTATAATATGCAAATGCTCCCATACAACCATAGTAGAAGACAAAAATACCCCCCCCCCCAAAATTTCCAGTCCCTCAGGAGGTTTTCCTGCCCTTGTTGAGAATCACTGACTTAACCAAACCCATTGAAGTGCAGTATAATTATATTCAGTAGAGAAAGAATTGATCTCATAAAGAAGACATAGTGTCCTCAACATCTTGATAATGGTCATGACTTTGAGACATAGACAGCTAGTAGAATTACATGTAACTCAGTTAACAAATGACCCCCTTCCCATTTCCCAGTTTTTATCTTGGATATCTATTTTTGGAAGCTAGATAAATTATCATACCAACAGAGGATTATGTTAACAGGCATTATGATTTGGAGACAGGTTCTATGTTAAGTAACCAACAAGCCACAATCTTTTCTCATTTATTAACTGACACAAAGCCTGATTTTACCACCAGTTTTGCTAATCTCTTCCTAAAGCTCTGCTTTATGTGAAAAGAAAACTAAAACTTAAGTATAACAGCCAGAGAGCACTGGGAACCTGTCCTTCTTACACATTTCATGAAGTAAATGTATCTTGGGAACATCTACAGGAAAGTCTTCTGTTTCCACTAGCTGATTCAACCAAAACATGAACATCTTCTTTTAAAGACAGCATTACATTCTCTAAAGAAAGCTGAAGACATAAATCAAAGAGAAGTGACTTCTAAAATAAGGGATCCGTAAGAACTGAATGCTGAATAATGGCCAATGAGGGAACTTAAGATGGAGTCCCCTTAAGAAAGAAGGTGTCATACAGAGCAGTATGAGGAAGTGACAGAGGGAAAGTAAGAAAATAGATTGTTACAAGTAGTCTCATTCATCGTACAGAGCATTCATGAAATTTTTCCTTCCTTTTTTTTCTATTTATCCCTCGGTGGTAATGGAGGGTTATAATGATGAAGTGCACACTTGTGGCACATTTAAATGTACTGAACTTCAGAACTTTGCCCATTTTGTGACTTTGTTCTTGGGTTCCAGGATGCCATGCCCTTAGCGCTGCAGAGTGTAATGGAGCTCCAGGACATCTCTTGCAACAGAGATAAGGAGGAGAGGAGCCATTCAGAGACCCCGAGTAACGCCCCACAACCCTGTGGTGACTTTGTAAGTTATTTATATTCACAGATAAATTAGAAAGTAGGGTTAAAAGAAAAGTTGCTTTTTATTTGTTTTGCTAGAGTTAGGAAAAACATGCACTAAAGCAAACACTAATGTCAAAATTAATAGATTTAAATAGGAGGGTATTATTATTATTATTATTATTAACTATTTTAAAGTGGATTAGTGAAGATTTTACTATAATCAAAATTTAAGAGCGTCCCAGACTGTATTTCTAAGAGTAGTCAGTGTCTGTGTCGCTTTTAAAGTCAACATTTAGGGGCCCCTGGGTGGCTCAGTTGGTTGGGTGACCGACTTTGGCTCAGGTCATGATCTCACAGTTCGTGGGTTCGAGCCCCGTGTCGGGCTCTGTGCTGAACACTTGCTCAGAGTGTGGAGCCTGCTTTGGATTCTGTGTCTCCTTCTCTCTCTGCCCCTCCTCCCCTGCTTGTGCTCTGTCTCACTCTGTCTCTCAAAAATAAATAAATGTTAAAGTCAACATTTAGTTTAAGCCTGCATGTGATAGGTCATCAATTTATTAAGTTGGAACACTGTGATTTTCTTTTATTTTTAATGTTTTATTTATTTATTTATTTATTTATTTATTTATTTATTTAGAGAGAAAGAGCAGAGAGAGAGAGGGAGTGTGAACAGGGGAGGGGCAGAGAGGGAGGGAGACAGGGAATCCCAAGCAGGTTCTGCAGTGTCAGTGCAGAGCCCGACATGGGGCTTGAACTCATGAACCGTGAGATATGGCCAAAGCCGAAATCCAAAGCCCGACGCTTAACCAATGAGTCACCCAGACATCCCAGAAAGCTGTGATTTCCTTAAAGGAGTCTCTGGAAAAGTTCAGAGTCTTTTCAGGAGGAGCAATGATACTCTCTGAAGATGTGACTTTTATTAACACAGTATATATTGTAAAGTAAAGCCTTATTGAGAAAGGGATTTTAACTTTGGGTCATACAACTTCTGTTCTGCAGTAAAATATGTGCTTTTTATGAGTTCTTTAAAATATAAAGAATTATAAAACATAGCTAGAGCATCATAAAAACATGCTAAGGCCAAGAAAATATTTGTCTGGTAAATTAGTTTGAGTAATACAAATTTTAATTTAGTATCTTTTGTCCCATAGGTATTAATAGAGCATAGTAGCATTTCAAGTATTATATGGAAGCTATAATAGATTTCTGCATCATCTTGAAGGTCCTTGAAAGTGGCATTTTATGTTGGCATTATTGGCATTTGCGGTCACACAGTTCTTCACTGAGGCCCTCGTGTTGGGGGGTGTTTAGCATTTCTGGTGTAGCAGACTCGATCTCAGTAATGCCCCCGAGTCATCCAGTGAATACCCTCACATAGTAGTTCCAAATCCTAGGAGATGATGCAGCCCCACCCCCCAGGAAAAAAACCACTCAGAAGCATCTCTCTTTCCTGGCACTGGGGAATGGAAAATCAGGATCACATGTGAATTAAGACAATCGATGAGATAAAAATGAGAGCAAGAGAGAAGTTTTTCCGATGCATGTGAAATGGAAAAAGTGTGGCTAGTTCTTTATAAATTTCTGGGCTTAATTACAGAGAATACATTTTAGAAAAGTCCTTAAGGGTTTGCTCTTTAGCTTAATTCCAATGTATTAAGTTGATGAGTATTTATTGAGCTGTCAGAGCAGGGTGTACAGCTTCTCCCTCAGCAAGCATGTCCAGAATTTGATAAAAGAAGAGCAGTGTTCTTCTCCACCTTGCATGAGACCACAAGATGATAAATTCGGCTAAATTAAAATAATCGAGAGACATCAATATAAAAGTAACTTTTTAACTTATGAATAAAGTATATTAAGCTTTTTAAAAAACCAAATATTAATAAGAGTTCAAAAATCTATCTAAAGGCAGAGCCATGTTTTTATGTAACCTTGACTAATACTTGCCTACATGTTTTGTATAGGACAAAATATTAGAAGAAAATCTGATTCTTATTTGTTCCAACCATAATTCCTACGTCTGGGTGAATCAGTTTATGTCTACGGTCCACAGGATATATATATAGTAATTATGTTGTGATATTGTAATTATATTACCTGTAGAATCCAGTCAAGTTACAAATACAGTAATTTATCCAAGAACAGTAAACAGATTCTTCATTTAGTCAAAGGACTCATTAAATAGTCTGCTGGTGTATATTGATTATCTTATAAACTAGACATCAAATTTAATCTGTGTAGTCTATTGCTAGTACCAGTAAGAGATTGGTTTCCCCTTTCTGTAGATTTCCCGTGAGTTCAGACAAAGTTACCAGAGGCTGTTTACTGCTCAGATGCTGATTCCCTAGGACATCTTTCAGGGTACAAAGGAGAAACCTACTTCCGAATTGCTATGACATAATCATGTAACCCAAGCATATATGATAAAGGGTAAAGTTGCAGTCAGCAGATAGGATACTATTTGCACTTCAGAAGAGAGGGGGAGGAAAGAGAAGTATCAGAAATTAAATTCAGGGTGCCCAGGAGCTGGCATGGGGTTGGGGGCTAATATGAAGTTCATTTTCCTTTTCTTTTAATTCTTTTTTATTTATTTATTTGACAGAAGAAGAGGGAGAGAGAGCAGGGGGAGGAGCAGAGAGGGAGAGAGAGAATCCCAAGCAGGCTCCACGCTGTCAGCACAGAGCCCAACACGGGGCTTGATCTCACGAACTGTGAGATTATGACCTAAGCCAAAATCAAGAGTTGGACGCTTAACCTGCTGAACGAACCAGGTGCCCCATGAAATTCATTTTCAATGACTCAGACCTAATAATGTAACAATTTAAGAAACGAAACAAAACCAGCATCAGTTTAGTCTTTCAATGTATTTAAAGAGAAAGCAGTAATTCTGTTGTCATTTCTATCACAGGAGCAAAATACCTATAATAAGGAGGTACTTATCTATATAGGGAATACAATTCCACTACCCACAATGAGTTACCAGGGTAGCCAAGGAATTGAGACGGATGTGGGAGGAACAGGATATAGTCTCTTCTAAGACTATCTTCCTTTTGTTGCCTGCAAAGGAAGGAAATGATATGGTGAGTCATTTGCAGTCTTAGGGGTCAAAGACTAGAGTTTGCCTCCCACCCCATGGGCTGGAGTAGCTCAGTTTGGCTCTGGGAATAGAAAGAAAGGGAAGAGAAAGAGTTGAAGGAGATGACACCAATGACAAAACTAGTGGCTGTAGAGGGAAAGGTTGAGTGTATTTTGGGTGTGCAGGCTTTAATTTTTGTATTCCTCTATTCCTCCTCCTAGAGTCCCTCTTTTAAGTCCTTGAGCGGGTTTAGCTAGACAGAAAGAAAGATCACATCCTCTCTTAACTTGGCTCGATACTTTCCTGCCTTTCTTTGTGCTCCTTCAGGGAGGACGTAAGCCTACTGGTGATAGTGCAGGACATGGACTGGTTGTTGCTTTCTCTGTGACAGCATTGTTTTTCTCTTTTGGCAGGCAGCCCATTTACAGAGGCTTGTCCTAATGCCTCTGTCAGCCCTGCTGTCCTTGTTCCCTGGGCCTCAGAAGCTCATCCAAAAGCGCTATGACAAATTGCTGGACTGCAACAGCAACCTACGACGGGCAGCAGGAGATGAGTCAGACTTGGCCAAAAAGGAGTATGAGGCCCTCAATGCCCAGCTTGTGGAGGAGCTCCAGGTGTTCAACCAGGCTGCCCGGAAGATTCTGTGGAACTGTCTGTGTAGCTTCGTCACTCTCCTTGGGGACCTGACACTTGTGGCTCAGCAGGTTTATTCCACGGTGGCACCGGTAAGCTCAGTACCAGCTCCTGCTACCCTGGCCTGCGAGATCTACTAGAAACCACAGCCATGAAGGGGTGCCTAGGTGGCTCAGTCGGTTAAGTGCCTGACTTCGGCTCAGGTCATGATCTCAGGGTTCATGAGTTCGAGCCCCTCATTGGGCTCCGTGCTGTCAGCTCATAGCCTGGAGCCTGCTTTGGACTTTGTGTCCCGCTCCTCTCAAAAATGGATAAACATTAAAAAAAGAAAAGAAAAGAAAAGAAAAGAAACCCACAGCTATGTCAAGTGGCCCTGTTCACAGTGGGTATGTGTGTGGTGCATGTGTGTGCCTGGGGCAGAGGCTGTATTTTAACTGAAGCCAGTCATATAGTCTCTTTCTCTTTCCTCCATAGGAAAATTTCCTAGTTCAGGTTTGTGGTGACTTGCACACGTGTATTTCTTTTTGGAGGTTCCTCTTTGAATACCAAACACCTTTTAGCTTTGTTCCACTCATCAGTGAAGCCAGGGTAGCTCCACCTGCTTGATGCTTTGCTGAAGTTTATCAATATTTATTTTGTACTCTCTTCCTATTCAACAGTTCTTCAATGCTAACCATGACTGTGTAAGATACGGATCCTAAAAGATGGCCATCTCAATGTAATGACAGAAACAGAGTAACTGTCAAACCAGTCACTTTTGCTTCTGTTTTCCTCTATGGAAAAAAAAAAAAAAAGGCCTACGGTGTGTGTGTGTGTGTGTGTGTGTGTGTGTGTGTGTGTGTGTGTGCACGTGTGTGTAATTTAGCTTTCCATTAGGATATGATTTTATGACTATTTCCCTGACGGAGAAGAAAGATATTTACAACCTAATACCAACTTAAAAAAATCAGTGTGGTTTCTTTGCCCCTCATTTCAATTAGTTCTCATTCAGCTGGGTAGATATTTAATGGGCAACATTTGGAGGAAAATTAATTGTCCTGACTTTATTTTTCACTGTGTATTTAATTAACTTTTAGCTTATCCTTTGAATTAAATTAAGGTGAATAAACAGGTGCTATACTTATATGGTTCAAAAGGCAAAACTACATAAAAATGTATAAGCAGCCTCACATAGACTCCTGTCCCCTAATGACTCATCCCCGACTCCACCCCCGCTGTTACTAATTTATCCGTTTATGGTTTCTTCATGCCATTAGAAGTGCAAATATGTATATATTTTTCTGTATATATTTTCCCTATATAAAACTAGGAAATTATGGCAGCATTCTGCAATTTAACCTTCTGGGGATGCATCCATGTCAGTACACAGAGAGCTTTCTCTTCTCTTCTATAGCTTCATACTAGTCTACTGCATAACTATACAATAGTGTACAACCAACCCCCTATTTTCTGGATAACGGCTTTATTGAGATATCATTCACATACCATATATTCCACCCATTTAAAGTATGCGATTCCACAGTTTTTAGTATTTTCACAAGAGTTGTGCAGCCATCACCACAATCAATTTTGGAACATCATCATCACCCCCAAAATAAACCCTGTGCCATTAGCAGTGAATCCACATTTCTGCCCAACCTCCCAGCCCTAGGCAATCATCAGTCTATTTTCTGTCTCTTTAGATTTACCTATTCTGGACATTTCATATAAATAGAATTCTATAAAATGTGGTTTTTTGTGACTGGCTTCTTTCACTTAGCATAATGTTTTCAAGTTTCATCCATGTTGTGGCATGTTTCAGTACTTAATTCTTTTTATTGACAAATAATATTTCATTGTAGAGATATGCCACATTTTATTTATCCATCACCAGTGGATGGACATTTGGGTTATTTCCACTTTTGGCCAACTATGAACATTTGAGATCTTAGTGAATGTATGTTAGTGGATGTATGTTTTCATTTCTTTTGGGTACATATCTAGGAGTAGAATTGCTGGATCATATGCTAACTCTTGTGTTTAACCTTTTCAAGAACTGCCAGACTTTTCCCAAGTGGCCGCACTATTTTACATTCGCAACAGTGATAACTGAGGTTCCCATTCCTTATATCTACCTGTCCTTGGTTTTGTTTTTTGTGTTTTTTTTTTTATAGCCATCCCAGTGGGTGTGAAGTGATATCTCATTATGGTTTTGATTTGCATTTCCTTGATCATTTCCTTATTTTAAACTTTTTAAATTGAAGTATAACTTATGTATGGTAAAGTGCATCAGTCTGAAGTGCCCATCTCAATGAATATTTGCAAATACATACATCTGTGTAACCACCATCAAAATCTAGACATTAGCCCTTTCCAGTTCCCCTTAAGAGCCACTCATGACCACTCCTTGGCTACAGTCCCTCAAAGGTAAACATTTTTCTTACATATATATCATAGACTGTTATGCCTGGTTTGTATTTCATGAAAATGGAATCATATGGTATGTATAGCTTTGTGTATTAACCTGTTCCTATGGAAGGATATTTGGATGATTCCAGTTGCCTATAGCTGCGTAACAAATTACACCAAATATGGCAGCATGTAACAACCAATAGTCATTTATTACTATAGTCTCTCATGGTTCTGGAGGTTCACTGGGCTCAAGGAAGTCATTCTCAGTGTCCCTTATAAGGTTGTAGTCTGATAATAGCTGGGGCTAGAGTCATCTCAAAGACTTCCTCAGGCCCATGTCTGAGGTGGGAGATGGGGTGATGACAGAAGACTCAAACAGTTGGCGACTAGGACAGTTGGGGCTCCATAGACCTCTCACCCTGCTCCGATCTTTCAACACGGTCTTTTGATATGGCGTCCACGGTGCAACTGGCCTTCTTCCATGGTTAATATTAAGTCTCCCAGAGTGAGTGTCACAAAAGAAACCAGCAGAGGCTATACAGTCTTTTTTAGCCTAATCTTGAAAGTCAGATAGCATCACTTCTGTCGTTCCATTCATTTCCATTCTGTTCATGGAGGCAATTAAAAAAACCCACCCACTTTTGAGGGGAGAGGGCATGGACTCCACTCCACTTCCTGAGGAGAGGCATGTCAAAGAATGTGCTGATTTGCTTTAAAGCTGCCACAGGCTCTTAACCAATGCTTCTTGTTTTAGCTTCTCTCTCCTTCCCCCTATCCCACCCTACCACATTGGAAGACCCTCTTGCCATCAATTCCTGAGCCCTTCTTCCAAAATTCCATTGTGTTTTTTATTTCTCTTGTGTTCTTTTATTTAGGCTTGAACCTTTAAAAAATTATCCCTATCATTTTAGTGAGGTTTCCAGAGACAGCAAACTAAATTAGACTTTTTTTTTAAAAAGTTTATTTAGACCATTTTTATCTAAATCTTCTAACATTGTCCCAATCTCTTGCTGTGGAGCTATCTTACACTTTCTTTGCTTGTCACAACTCTACTAAATTCAATATCTAACATGGTTAAATAGTTGTCTGAGAAGAATGCCATATCATTTCTACCTATAGGTACCACTGCTGGCCTCGAGCATCTCTGAAATTCAGAATCGAGTACTAGAAGAGGTTCAAAATCTTAATTTTGTAAAGGACAACAGTGCCACCTTTATTGAGAGGAAACTTAGTTTTGAAAAGAAGAAGCCTGTGCAAATTCTGGTGAGTTTGGTATGGTTCGTGACAATGACTATCACTTCTTTTCCTTGTTCAAATCACAATGACTATCACTTCTTTTCCTTGTTCAAATCACAGTGTATTATTTTTCATATCACTTATCTCATCCTAGTATCCTGTAACTTACCTACCTATTATATTTAGGATTTCTTGTCTATTTCTACTTTCTATACTATGAGTTCTGTAAGGTCCTAGATTTTTGCCTGTTTTATACATGACATATCCCAAGATGCTAAAATGGTGCCTGACAACAGATATAAATATCTCCTGAATGAATGAATAGAATTTTATAGAGCAAAATCATATAGTCCAACTCCTTCATTTTTCTAGATAAGGAATCCCAGGCACTGAAGATAAAGTGGCTTTCTCAAAATCACTAGAGGCAGAGCTGGGAGGGGTCTAGGCCTTTTGACTCCTGCCTAATTTACTGGTATTGTTTCCCAGAAAAAGACATGCACATATACAATTTACTTAATTAAACAGTGTTTTTCAAGTGCTTAATACACAAGGGGTTGTCTACAGTACGGCAAAAAATTAAAAATTGTTCTATCCAAGAGGGATTAGAACCTCTGCCTCCTTATGCTCAGTTGGATTTTCTTTCCTCTCTGCAACACTGCCCTCATGTGCTAACTGGAGAATTTTTCACTGCAGAACTCAGCTGGATGCTTCACAATAATTCCAACAATGCCTTAGTGTTGAAATAATCCCAAATCAGTGGATGGCTTCAACATTAAAAAAAAAATCTCCAAAGAAGGAGTATTTACCAGTTCAGTGAGGATTTTATTATACATCTATGTAAACCAAAATTTCTCCTTACTTCTCCCAGCCTGAAGTGCCACGTCAAACCGATGTTCACCGCTCCAAACTTCTGTCCACGTACAGTAAAGAAGAACTCTACCAGGCAAAGCGGAAGTGCAATGCTACACAAGAATATGACATCAATCTTCTAGGAGGGGAATTGGTGGCTGTGATGGAACAGAAAGATCCACTGGGGAGTACCAGCAGGTGGCTCGTTGACACAGGAAGTAAGGGTTTTTTTTTGTTTTTTTTTTTTGCATAAAATGCACAAAACTACCCCCTCTTTTCAGGTGGAGATTTCCCCACGGGCCACTCTGTGCTTCTCTAAACACAAATGTTTGGTGAGGGTACACAAATGACCTTCTTTTTTTCTTTCTTTCTTTCTGTTTCCTATCCAGTTATAAAAGGATATGTGTATTCCTCCTTCTTAAAACCCTACAATCCTGCAAAAGTGCAGAAGGTGGATGCTGAGAACAGGTTCTGTGATGACGATTTTGATAACATCAGCCTCTTTGTGTCCTCACGGCCAGCTAGTGACAGTGTCACAGGCACCCCAGAAAGTAGCGTAAGTGATAGCAGCTCATCTCTTAGTGGCACATATGGAAAGTTTGAAACAAACGGCACTGACGCTGACAGTTCTCAAGAGGTAGATGAACAGGTAAGAATTTGAACCTTGATGTAAAACTGCTTGGCTGTTCAAATCATGAAAGATGTTCTAACAGCGCTCTATCTTGCTGCAAGCCTTGGTGAAAGTGTCAGCTTTGATAGCAAGAAGACCCAGCTCTATGAACACTTATTTTCTGTGCACCTTTCTGCAAGGAATTTAATTCTCTGAGCCTGTTCGTCAAGTGAGGAAAAGAGGACAATAATTCCTACTTTGCGGACTTGATGTGAGGATTAGAGAAAACGTATATATGTAAAGTACCCAGCACAGAGTAGACACTCAGTAAATAGAAACTGTTACTATTACTATCCTGCTGTTATGTACTTGGAGTAAAGCAAAGATGGCCTTTTTATATTCCTCCATCAGAGAAAAACAGTTCAATACTGAACAGATTGCCGCCATAAGCAGCATGTGGAAAATTGTCCATGATTCCTCTAAGAGCAGTAACATCATTGAGCTATCTAGTAATTGGCCATTTTTAATCTCTTGTACCATATCCTGAAACCTTTAAGAGCTACTTTTCCCGCACTGCACCAAAGCGGAGACTATTGGGATAATTCTTTTGCAAATTTATAAGTTACCTATAATGTAGCACTCCTTTTTCCTACATCAGAAAGTTTAAATATATTTAACTGTTAAACCTCAAGTGGCGACCAACTAACTGCTTCTCTTTTTTTAACTTGCTTTTTTCTTTAGTGGCTTTTTATTAATTCATTTAAATTTGTAATACATGTTATCTGTGAAAAGTTAAAATGGTATAAAGGTATACATAAATTAGAAGTAAAGATCTTTATTCCCTTCTCCCCCAACTCTACTCTTCAGAGACAAGTATTAGGGTTTATGTTTTCAGACATTTTCTGTGCATGTACAAACACATATTTTTACAAGTGGGAACATATATGTGTTAACATAATTTGGTTATTTTTTTCCACTTAACAATGTACCTTACACACAACAGTACCTAAATACTACCTTATTTCTTAAAAAATTCTTCATAGTAATTTATTTTGTGGATATATCATAATTTATGTAACTAGTACTCTAATAATAGGCATTTAGAATATTTGGGGAGGGGTTTAGAATTTCAAACTACTTCACACAAGATCCTCGTTCATCTATCTGTGTGCACTTATATGAGTATATACACAGGATAAATTAGAGAGTCAAAGGGTATATATATTGGAGAATATGAGTATATATAAATATATACATAGGAGAATACTGGAGAGTCAAAGGGTATATACATCTAAAGCCTTAATAGACATTGCCATACTGCCCTTCAAAATAGTTTAGTTTCTTTCATCAGTGATAACACTGATTCTTGTCCAATTCATAAATTTTACAAAATCTTTATTAAGGACTTATTTACACATCATAAAATCCATCTATTTTAAGCATATATTCAATGACTGAGTATATTTACCGAGCTGTGCAACTATCACCCCAATCCAATTCTAGCACATTCCCTTCACCCCCCAAAATCCTTTGCACTCTTTTGCAGTCAGTTCTCTTTCCCACCCTAGCCTCAGGAAATGACTGATTTGCTTTCTTTCTCTCTATATTTGACTTTTTGGTATACTTTGTATTAATGAAACCATACAAGTGGGACTTTGCAGCTAGTTTCTTTCACTTAGCATAATGTTTTTGAGATTCATCCATGTTGCAGTACATATATGTACTTTGTTGCTGTTTATCACCTGATAGTATTTCATTCTATGGATATAGCATATTTTGTTTATCCATTCACCAGTTGATAGACATTTTGGGTAATTTCTATTATGAATAATGCTGCTATAAACATTTATGTACAAGTCTTTGTGAGGATTTCATTTATTTTGAGTAGATACCTAGGAGTAGAATTGCTTGTTGTTACGGTGAATATATGCTTAACTTGTTTAAAGAAAATGGGGCGCCTGGGTGGCGCAGTCGGTTAAGTGTCCGGCTTCAGCCAGTCCCGCGATCTCGCTGATCCGGGAGTTGGAGCCCGAAATGGCTCTGGGCTGATGGCTCAGAGCCTGGAGCCTGTTTCCAATTCTATGTCTCCCTCTCTCTGCCCCTCCCCTGTTCATGCTCTGTCTCTCTCTGTCCCCAAAATAAATAAACGTTGAAAAAAAAAAAAATTGAAAAAAAAAAAAAAAGAAACTGCCAGACTGTTTTTCAAAGTAGCTGCACCATTTTACATACCCACTGGCAGTGCATGGGGCTTGTGGACTGCAGTTTTTCCACATCCTCACCTTACTGCCTTTTTAAAATTATTAGGATAGCCACTCCAATGGGTGTGAAGTGTATCTCACTGTGGTTTTAATTTGCATTTGACTAATGCTGTTGAATATCTTTCATGTACTTATTGGCCATTCTTGTATTTTCTCTAGTGAAATGTCCATTTAATATATGCCCGTTTTAAAAATTGGGTCATTTTCTTTCTTATTATCCACTTGCAAGAGTTCTTTATATACTTTGGATGCAAGTTCTTTATCAGGTATAATTTGCAAATAATTTCTCCCAGTCATAACTGATTCTTAATTCATCTAGACATTACTATATGTTTCTATCACTCTTCTCTTGAAGTTTCAAAACATTGTTTTTCTATTCCTTGTTCATTCTCTTAGTTTATTCAAAGTTTCTAGAAAACAAAATTACATTGTAATAACAATAGATTAATGAAATTTTATCAGTGAAATGTATAGTCATGATTAAATGTCCTGGCAGACTTTTAACTTATCCCAATAACCTAGAAGGACAGAAATCTGAGGGCCAAATTTGTCAAGACACCCTAAAGCTGGCTTAATGTTGAGCTCCAGTTCTTATTGGCTTTTACAGGGGCTTTTGGAGTAAGCACCTCACTTAGGCTCTTTCCACATGGGATTTGTAGTCTAGTTCCTAATAGCCACTACTGCAAAGTAATTCTCTTTGAGTAATCCTATCAATATGTTTCATGTGAATTAGGTCCATTAGAAGTTTCCATTACCAAGAGAGGAAAAAAAATGAGATAATTTCTTTTTACTCAAAACAAAGTATATTGATAATATCTCTTCATAAAGTGCAATTTGTACTCCTTTTCCTCTGAGTTTGGAACTGATTCAAAATAGACCTTGGTGTCAGGGATATATATATATATATATATATATTATATAATACATTATATATATGAAATATAATATTATATATATATGTGTATATATATATACACATATATATATATGAAAGCTTTATTCCTAACAAAACTGGATTAGAAAATGCAGCTTGGATCAGTGGCCACATAGGATCCCTGAATACCTCCCTCTGTGTTAAAATAATTCAGCTCAAATTGCGGGCCTCTCCCGTGTAGGACAAAGTCTGTCCCGGTAAATTGACTATGATTTGAAGACAATGTACCTGTTAGAAACCCTAGCACGAGCGACAGAAGGAAAGACTACACAGGAATATTTCCCTTAATGTCTTAATTCTAGTCAATAGAGGTACATGAGCTAGTAGTTCCTAGACTTTTCCAGTTATGCAACTACTGTTTAGCCCTCAGAAACAGAAGGAAAACCTTGTATGATCTTCCTAATCCTTACCAGAGGGCTGATGTTTTCATTTTGTTGACTCTTAGAAAGTGTGGAGAGAAGAGAATGGTTAACCCCCATATTTGTGGTGTGACAGTCCAAGAGAACAATGCATTATAGAGGTCCCTAGAAGGTGACTGAAAAGTGAGAGTTAATTGTATCTTTTTGTGTGTGTGTGAACAGTGAGAATACATTGCATATTGTAATATGCACATTTGAGATGTCCTGCAAAGCAATTTTCTGTGCAGCTATTTAAACTTATGTTCTTGATTTTATTTTATCATCAGGAACATCAACTGAAACTTGTTTTGGTTTAACAAGATGACACTTTGACTCACCATTTCTTTCCCTATCCTTTCCTACTGTGGCAGTAACACTTTTTTTTTTTTTTTTGCTTTCTTCCAGAATTGAAATATCATATTGCCATTGGTGTTGTAGACTGTAATCTACTCTTATTAATGGCTCCAGTGGGCCCTGACAAGAAAGACAGGTAGAGAGGGAGCTTTGCTCTATGCCTGATATTCAGGAGGCATCACTGGGATCCTAAAAATTAATCATAAATAGGCATGTTCAGACTGACTTCAGACTAGTGGCTCTGCAGTTTTTATACTCAAGCTAAGTTTTTAATGTGAACTCCAAGAATAAAAGGGATCTATGAATGCGCTTTGGAAGGATTTATAAATCACCTCAAATATGTTGGAAATTTTGTGCATATGAGCATAAATAATTATGGTAAAAGAAGTCCATAGCTTTCAACATATTTTCAAAGAGAAATTCTATTTTAAAAGGTTAGAAACCACTGCTCTAAAGACTTAACTTGCTTATGCATTCTCCCAGCCACTCAAGAAAAAAAATTGTTGGGTTTAAAGCCTCCCACATTTTCTAGAATGGTTCTAGTGGATCAGAAGTCTTATGGGTAAGGTGAAAATATAACTTAATATCTATAATAAGACACTTTTGTTAATGAAAGAGAGTGCCTACTAGATGAGATAACTGTGACCGGTATAATTGGGGGATATGGTCACTGTCCTTATTGGTCCCTTATTGGGACTGAAGAACCAATCCATTCAGATTCCTCCATGCACATGCCACACAGAAAGCATGGACTTTCTCCTAATGTTTTAGAAGCTCCCTAAATTATGGTCCAGAGACTCTGTAAGAATAATGGGGAGGAGTTAATGGATATTCACAACCTGACAGTACTGATTTATACTAAAGGATTTAATCTTTAATCTCTTGACTCACTACTTTATGCTAGATCAAAAAATATCACAAAAACAGTCAAACAAATATGCCTTCCTATCCTAATGTATTTTCCCCTTTTGCCTGTCAAATAGTAATGACATGATTGACTTAGTTTTCTATGATGCACAACAAATGATCACAAAGCGGCTTAAAACAACATAAATGAATTATCTCACCATTTCCAAGGTCAGAAGTCCAGGCACAGCTTAGCTGTGTGCTCTGCTTAGCATGTCACATAGCTGCAATCCAGATGGTTTCGGGCCTGTGTTCCTCCCTGAAACTCACAGTTCTCTTCCAAGCTTGTGGTTGTTGGCAAAACTCAGCTCTTTGTCCTGGTAGGACCGAGGCCTCCATTTTCTTGCTGGCCATCAGCTGAGAACCACTTTCAATAACTGGAGGCTGCTCTCAGACCCTTGCCATGTGGCTACGTCTGTAGGCAGTTTGCAATATGGCTGCCTCTTCAAGGCTAGCAGATGAGCATCTCTCTGGTTTTAAAGTTCTCCCTTCAGAAATGGTCTGAACTCTCTCTTAAAGGGCTCACTTATTTACATCAGGCACACTCAGGATAATCTTTGGCTAACTCACAGTCAGTGTATTAGGGAACTTATTATGCAGGACATGTTCAACAGAAGGTGTCCATTTTAGAAGTCTGTCTATCATAATATCTAAGATGCCTTGCTTGGTAAGCAAGGTAGAGGACGAATGTGATGCAATCTTCAGCACGTCTCAAAGTGGACCAGGTTTGATAATGGCTAAACCCAGTTTTAAAGCGATGTTCAATGTCTGAGAATCAGTGAGGTTCCTTTTTTTCACATAAATCATACTGACAACATAAATCTTGAATTAGAAACTTAGGAAAAGTTAGTTGTTTTGCAGATAATCCTAAATTCACTCTCTGGGCCTTCATCTTTACATGTTTCAACTATTTTTGATGATAATGCTACATGTGTAGTATGTCATTGTTTAGAAAGTATTTCAAAATGAGCCATCAAGCTGTAATATAATGTATATAAGCAGTCATTAAAATGAGGCATTAGAGAACTATTTATTGACATGAAGATTTTCAAATATATTTTAAAGCAAAAAGCAGGCTGCAAAAATTATGTATACTACAATTCCATGTTTATTGTTACTTCAGGTTGGTAGAAAGAAAAGAAAGGATGAGGAGAAGGAATGAGGGGAGGAAGGAAGGATGGAAGGAAGGAAAGAAGGGAAGAAATACAAGATATTAATAGCAGTTGGGTGATTCTTTCTTACCTTTCTTTAAAATTATTTCTTTATAAAAATTGCTTGCATAATAACAATATATAATTGTTCACTGAAGAATGTGAAAGCTTGTTCCTGGAGGGAAGAGAAGAAAGAGCATTTTTCATGCAATATAACCATCTTGGCTTCCTGAACTACATATGACATATACTGTAAATACTGGGTTTGCAGCTTTTTAGTTTTGGAAAGGAAGATTAAAATAAATTATTATTGTTGTTGTTAATTGAAGAACTGGGAAGAAATCAATAAAATGAGATTCAGTGGAGACAGCTAATGTGGCCACTAAGGGAGGAATAATTAAATGCACAAATATAGAATAGGGGAATGCCTAGCTGGCAATGCTACTACAGGGAGAAATCTGGTGGTTAATAAACAGTGGATAATACATTGAGTATGAGTCAATAATTCGGTACACAGTGTTATTTAAAAAAAAGTAAGTGCCGTGGAGAACTGGGTTGTATTCATAGAATAGAGTACATACAATGAGCCAGAGCTTTACAGAGTACAAAGAAGCAGTGAATAAAATATATTTTAATAAATACTGAGGAAAAAGAGAGAAGGATCAGATGACCATGGATTAAATTAATAAAATGTAATTAATGCATCTGGACCAAACATTAACATTGCAAGCTAGAAAATTATTAGTTTGGAACAACTAAAATATTCCAAAAAATGAGAAATTCTTCAGCTTTTATCTAGAACAGGCTGAAAACTTCTAACTTATAGTCTAATGTTATCAACTGCTTTCTCTTTAAAAGTGGACTTAGTTCCAGAGGAGGCATAAACATATAAAACTGAAATATACTTATCCTAAATTAATTCTGGATCACGATCACTTAAAGTATATAATTTTGTACTTTAAATTTACAATTTCATGAAAATCTATATTTAGTGTATAAAATATAACCTCTGCTGTAATGTCATACCAAATAGATCTAGGTGGAAGATTTTATATTCCTTTTGAGAGAATGTGTGCCAAAGTGAAAAACCACCACAACTATTTAGGAATCATATATTAGTAGGTAATTCAATCTGCTAACCAATCTATAGCTGCATTGGTAAAGCATATATGTTTTACCAAGGAAACAAGTAAAAATTATACAAGTTGGCTAGTAACTGTTAACACAGGCTCTTAACTGATAATTTCAGAAACTGTACTATGGTACATCAGATTCCTGAAAGCTTTTGCCCACCAAATCCTCCACTCTTCTCTTGTGAATCTAATCAATATCTTCATTTCCTCATCAACAACAAAAACATCAGCAACAACATATTAGAGACCTCAATCCCTTTCCACAAGAATATACTCTGCTCATCCTTCCTAGAACAAGAGTTTGGTTCCTAAAGTAGTATGAGAAATGGACCAAGCACTGGAGTTAGAAAATACAGTCCCAGCAGCACTAACTCTATGACTAATGCATTGTAGTACTCCAATTCACAGCTCACAGGGTTGTTGAGGATGAAGCACATTTGACATGTAAACTCATGAGCGCTAGAAAAGATGGCGGTTATTGCTGCCACTCCATTGCTCAAGACCTTATAGCATCTTCCCTTTTGTTTTCTTCTTTAATTTTTAAATTACAAAATAATCCATGCCCAACAATCTGTCTTGTGTGTATCTTATATGATGCAAGGCCATCTCTTGTATATTCTTGTAGAATATCCAAGCCTTTCAACTCAACTTTTAAGTCAAATTAACATATATTTGAATTCCTACTGTGTACCATGATGTGGTCAGTAAAGTTTAAGTGTTCCTCTCTCTCTCTCTCTCTCTTTTTTAAGTAAGCTTTACACTCAACTGGGACTTGAACTCAACCCTGAGATCAAGAGTCACATGCTCTACTGACTAAGCCAACCAAGCACTCCATAAATGCTCTCTCTTTGAAGTGGAGCTCATGCCGGAGTTGTTGAGACGATATAAAATCAATGATGTCAAATCTTCATCAGAAGTTAAATAATAGTTCAACATCTACAAGAATAACTTATGCTGCTAACTATATAGTCCCCTCCCTACACTCCCCAGTCTCCTTTCCTGTTCAGTGAAGTCATCTTATTTATCATTTTCTTTTAACATTGACTCTCAATTTTGAGAAAGTTAATCTGCTTGCCTTTCCCATATACTGTTTTCACATATTCCCTGTACTTTGAAATATGACATATCGACCCCTTTATCAACTTTGTCACCTACAGAAGGTTACCTTTTTCAAAAACTAGCTCACAATTAGTTAATATATCTCTCATGTGAGTAGGGTGTTTTTTGTTTGGTATGTGTGTACATTTTGTGGGGCACATTTTTCCCGAACTGGGTTGTAAGTTCTCTGACAATATCTGGCACTTGATAGGCACTTAATAAATTTTGATTGAATGAATAAATAAAATGTTAGTCAATGGCTTAATTTTATGATGTAAATAAACATTTCTGTTATCAATCTTACAATTTTAGTGGAAAAGGACTAAACATGTAGGGGCTTCTTATGCATCTAATAATTCTTAAGTATTCTTTTGAGGTTAGAGAAAAAAATATTTAATGATTATTTTTATATAGAGAGAGAAAGTGGGGGAGGAGCAGAGAGAGATGGAATCCCAAGCAGGCTCGGCTCTGTCAGCACAGAGCCCAATGTGGGGCTTGAACCCATGAACCATGAGATCATGACCTGAACCAAAACCAAGAGTCGGACTTGCTTAACCGACTGAGCCACCCAGGTGCCCTAAGGTTAGAGAAAAATTCTTTTGACTGAAGCATGTTTTATTAATTTCTTCTAGGCCACTTAAAATTATTTAAAAATTATAAATTTAATGCATTGTCATTATAAAGGCTTAGAATATAAAGAAACAAGTAAAAATGAAAATCACCTCTAATTCTACCAAAGAAACTAACAGTTTTAGACTTATACAACTGATTTTATATCCTTTTTCTTTTTTTTTTTTTGGCTGTTTCATCATAAAGCATTTGCTCCATGCTATTAGTCTCAGAAAACAGCATTTTTAATGACTAAATTTACTTACTGTAAACGTCACAAATTTCCTTAGTATAAAGGTACAGAATAGACTTAACTATTCTCCTCTTACTGAACATTCAGTGCTACTTCCATTTCCCTCACTTTCACCTTACAAATGGGGATTGCAGTAATATTATTATATAAAAATCTCTGCTAATGTCTCTATTTCTGTAGAAGAGATTCTTAGAGCAATTACTGAATAAAAAAAAAAAAAAAGAATTAACATTAAAAAAAAAAATCTTTTAGGGGCCCCTGCTTGGCTTAGTCAGTAGAGCATGCGACTCTTGATCTCAGGGTCATGAGTTCAAACCCCATGTTGGGTGTGGAGCCTACTTAAAAAAAAAAATAAAAATAAAATAAAATAAATAAATAAAATAATCATTTAATAGAAGCTGGGAAATTGCCTTCAAGCATGGACAGTTTAGACTCCTCCCAAAAGAACAATAAGAATGCCTATTGAACTATTCTCATCTGGGTCAAGGTTTAGCAAAGTAAATCCATCAGAAGGAATTGGGGAATGTGACTTTGAAAAAAGAACAGTGTTCTAAAAGCTTGGGAATCTTTGTAATGTTTGTCTAAATATTTCTAAATATTGGTTCTGCTTCCAATAATGGCATTTCCTTCTGTCTAGATTTTCTATGCAGTTCATGCTTTTCAAGCACGAAGTGACCATGAACTCAGCCTTCAGGAGTACCAAAGAGTCCACATACTTAGATTTTGTGACCTAAGTGGCAATAAAGAGTGGTGGTTGGCTGAAGTTCAAGGGCAGAAAGGATATGTGCCAGCTAACTACCTTGGGAAGATGACTTATGCTTAAGAAAAGAAGCCCTTGACGTCTGTTTTCTGGCAGGTTATTGATGGGCTACCTCATAAAACTTACAAAATGTTGGTCTAGAAATCAAGAAACCTCCATACTACATGAACTGATACTGTATCAAGTTTTAAGGAAGACTGCTTCCTAACAAGATTATTTCAAAATGTATTTTGAAGAATAAATGTTGAGGGAAACAAACAGAAACAGCAAAACAAACAGCTAAAGCTCCAACTACCAACTACTTAAAAATGGAGATCTTTGAAAAGATAAATGTATCCTTTATCAGCATGAAAGGCTGGATCTAAGGATAAGATTTTTTTCAATGTATTGTATTATGTATTTTGCCTCAAATGTTTTTCTCTCATTCTCTTTTGTGTGTGTGTGCACATATACACTCACACACATGTAATTATATTCATTATATGGTTATGTATACTATGTGATATAGATTATACACTGTTATGCATAAACCAGGGAATATACTAAATATACATAATAGGAATTAACAGCCAGCTAGAAATCTTTGTTGTGGAACATCTCTTTACTGTAAGTTTTAAATGAAAAAAACCCTGAATGACCTTATAATTATCTAACATTTACTGAATGCATACTACATGACAAAAACTGTTCTATATGTTTCTTATGTGGTAACTTATTTTTTATTATTTTTTTTAACCTTTATTGATTTTTGAGACAGAGAGAGCATGAACGGGGGAGGTTCAGAGAGAGATGGAGACACAGAATCTGAAACAGGCTCCAGGCTCTGAGCTGTCAGCACAGAGCCTGACGTGGGGCTCGAACTCACGGACTGTGAGATCATGACCTGAGCCGAAGTTGGATGCTGAACCGACTGAGCCACCCAGGTGCCCCATGTGGTAACTTATTTGATACTCACAACATTATGAAGAAACTGTGGCCCACATGGATGAAGTAATTTAGCCCAGGTACACTGCTAGTAAGGGCTGGGACTCAAACGTAGGTCTGGTTCTGGGATCTACACTCCTAACCACTATGCTGTAGCAACCCTCCAGGAGTATACATTTGCTGTCAGCAAAGCACTTAATGATGCACATAATGGACATTGATAAGGACCATTTTTCTCTCAGGTATATTTAAGTATTGAGAAGTTTTTCAAAATCAAGGGCTAGGAGGATTTCCATGATATTAGTCTAGAGAAAATGACGTATCTACGTTTATTTTTTTGTTTTGTTTTGCTTAAACATTTTTTAAAGTATAATTGTTTAAAAACGATGCTACATGATCACTAATGTTACTTGAATGAGGAAATATTTTTGGATCGCTCAATCATTTGGATGATGAATGTGGAATGTGTACTCCATGTTCTGAGCCAAGATGTAAATATTTTTAGTTGCCGATTGTACTTAGACAAAGAAGGCATTAAGGATAACATTTGCTGAAACACAATGTCCTGGGACACTGAACTTTCACTTGGGAATAGCTCAAAATTGTCCCCTAAGATTTCAGGATATTTTGTCAAGACATTTTATTGACTTGTTGATGCTCCTTTAGGACAGTAAAAAGATTTAAAGTTTGACTTAGTGGTTTCCTTTAAACACCAACATAAAGTGGACTTTCATTTCCCACATAGAATGTGCTAATAATGACATTAAAGATTTAATTGTTACTTTGAAAGATTTGATCTCTAGAACGTATACTGTAACATACATTACTGAAGAATACAAATAACAAAATTAACAGTGATTTTCAGACGGCTGTTTTAAGTATGCATATGACATGTACAACCATAGAAATTAAGACATTTCCATGACAGAATAATTTGCATTTCATAATATTGTACCTGAAATACTTAATCTAAAGATAGTTTTATAAGGTTCTAATGGTAAGTTGTTTTTGCATAACATTTTCTTGTTTTGAGTTTGGATACTAAAAGAAAATTCTCTTTTAGACATACAGAGACTTTTTATGTCTTTTAAATGGTGCTTTGTACCCAATGGTGAAAACATAATTCCAGTTTGCATAGGGCAAAACAAAAGGAAATCCAAACTTGCTACTTGTGGTAACTATGAACATGCCCAACAACCAAACTGGTGGGGAAACTATATCTAATGTATTTTTTATAGATGATATTTATACTTTTAATATATAAAAGTATATATATGTTTAATATATAACTTAATATATATTAAATGCATGTATTTAAATTAGCTGTGACTTCAATACTCCCCTTAAAATGAAGATTGATAGAAACAGCTCATATTTGCTGTTTTGGCTGAAATAAGTCACTAGATGTATAGAAGCTTTGTCTGCTTGTGTGGTCCTAGGTTGATGCCTCCTGTCTCACCTTCTTAGAAACCACACCACTAAAATCAGAGCTGCAGTTAGCTGCTGAGCAAGTGTAATGAAGCCATCTCCTGTAGTCCCTCACTATTGTAATGAACATACATTACTCTAAAACTATGTAGTTGCTATTTTAAAAATATACCTACATTTCATAGGCCATTTAGGCTTTGTTTTTTTAACGTTATACAATACCTTCATTTTCTTGATATGTTGTTAAGAATCAAGTAATTATAATTTTCAGGTCAGACATTATTTTGTCGAACATAGGGGAAATGAAACTCAGATAGTTATGATGTATGTAAGTCTTTAAGAAGTTTAAAAAGATAAAACTATTGGTGACATCATTACAATTAAGGCATGAAGAAACAATTATTTCTTTGTATTTTAAATTTTAAATGTCATTGTAAAATATAGAATTCTCTGAAATGGGTATTTTTACCAAGAATGAAGGAGAAATTTCTGTGGCTGTTTTCCTTTGTAAAACAAATAAACAAGTGTATGTAAACATTTTATTTAGTATTTATTTTTAAATACAGATGTTCTAGTATACATAATAATGTTCGGAATTATAAAAGATCCAGTAATACAAATTACCATGGGTACTTAAATCATGTGAAAAAGTCACAAAGCCACTGTCCGAACATTCCTTGTACTTTAGAAAAATATTCTCTTTTGCTATTAGTATAAAACAATTCTATGAAGGTTGAGCTGTGCAGAAGAGATACAGCGCACATTGTTAATCATATAAATGCAGCACTGCATGAAATACTTTTAAGTGCTGATGTATTTCATATTTTGCCTGAAATATAATTTGGACTTTTAGAGATGGCTATTAACTGCCTGTCACTATTTGTGATGAATAGTTCAGATGATGTACAAAAATCAGTGTTTTTATTACTGAAATATGAAATTAAAAACTGCCCATAAGCTTCTTAGATTTTTGTCTACTGCAAAACACTCTCAAAGCCATGTGAACAGAGATAAAATCTTTATATTCTAAGATGGCGGGGAAACTACTTTACTGAAACCCCGTTTGTCCTAACTATGGCTTCTTAAGGTACTCAGTGTAGTGCCCAATACTGAATACATTTAGCCCTCACAAAATTCAAGCCAAATTAAGCCTACAAATTTACATTATAGTTGATGAAGAAGTAATTAAATTTCATTGACTGGAAGGACACTCAACTTTACATTCTCTGGGGAAATTCTACTATTTATAGAATGTTACTATTTTTAAAGGCTAATTTTTTCTGTTACTTCCTTCTATACACTAAATTATATAAAAACTTAGTCATTAAATTATCTGTTATCTATAAAATTATCCAATATAACGCATCTTCACACCAGGACCATTGGAATTCAACCTGTGTCTCTGAAGGCCAGCTACTTCTTTCCTGTTATTACACTCTTGATATAGGCAAGATTTGCTTTGGTTTTTCAGTAAAATAAGTCACCCGTTAGCATATAGCAGAATGAGTAGCTCTTGTTCAAAAATGTAGGGGATATATTCTTAGTCAAGTTTATCTTACAAGAAAACAATACTATGGTGTGCAAATGTATTTATGGCTTTCTCTAATTCTTTATATAATTTTTATGATTATTGTATTAATATATTTATTTTTATAAAATGATGTATTTTCTATACAACCTGTGATCATCACAGTATAATTAAATGATCTGTTACTAATAAACAGTACCATGACATCCTTGTGAGGTATCAGAATCAGAAACCTAACCTTAGAATGTTAGATGCCTTCCATTTTATCTCATTAATTATCATCTATATTTTATAGAGGAGGAAACCAAAGATTACACAGCTCATATATGGAGGGACTGGGATTCAAAACCAAGTCTTCTGACTTTAAGCCAGTGTTCATTTAGTGGGTTTTTTTTGTTAAGTCACCAAAATCTAACAAAGCACAATGTGCATAAAGTGATATTGACCAAATTTCTACTAAAATATGATTTGAGCTTACAATCCTAAAAGCTTACTTTGGCTCACCTACTTATAGGTCTATTCATTCACTGGCATAATATTTATTGAGAATTACAGTGGGATGCTGTGCAATGGTGTGCTAATGGTGTGCAAATCAAACAAGATCTCTGTCTTCATCCAATTTAAAATCTAGTGGTGGTGGTGGGGAAACCTATGTGTAACAAAATAAATTAAATGATAAATACTATTAATATAAAGCTGGTGACTTTCATCACATGGTCAGTTAAAAAGCTTTGTAGCTCACTTAATGGTATGGAACTGATGAATGGATAAAGATGTGGTTTATATATACAATGGAATATTACTTGGCAATGAGAAGGAATGAAATCATGCCATTTGTAGCAATGTGGATGGAACTGGAAGGTATGCTGAGTGAATTAAGTCAGAAAAGGACACATATCATTTGTTTTCACTCATATGTGGATCTTGAGAAACTTAACAGAAGACCATGGGGGAAGGGAAGGGGGTAAATAGTAACAGAGAGGGAAGGAGGCAAACCACAAGAGACTCTTAAATACAGGGAACGAACTGAGGGTGGATGGGGGGAGGTGGGGGAGAAGGGAAAATGGGTGATGGGGATTGAGGAGAGCACTTGTTGGGATGAGCACTGGATGTTATATGTAAGCCAGCTAGCTGGACAACAAATTATATTTAAAAAAATAAAAAAAAGCATGACCTTTGGAAAAAAAAATGGTATGGAAAAAATCAAAGTCTAAGATCTACCTGAAGAAAACTTTAATATAAAAATACCTGTATGAAATATCAAACTGATTATATACAGTACTAGAATGTATGCATACTTACACATATGTACAGATTCCAAATATATATTTATGCACATACAACCTATACAAAGAGCCATGCTCAATGAAAACTAACTTCCTAAAAAGGCTTCTAACATCCTCTCTGAAATACTACAGAAATTAAAAGCTGCGTCTGGGGCACCTGGGTGGCTCAGTCGGTTAAGCGTCTGACTTCGGCTCAGGTCATGATCTCACGGTCCGTGAGTTCGAGCCCCGCGTCGGGCTCTGTGCTGACAGCTCAGAGCCTGGAGCCTGCTTCTGATTCTGTGTCTCCCTTTCTCTGACCCTCCCCCGTTCATACTCTGTCTCTCTCTGTCTCAAAGATAAATAAACGTTAAAAAAAAATTAAAAAAAAAAAAAAAAAAGTTGCATCTCTTCTCAACTCTTTCCAGTACTTGTGTTCTGGCTGTGATGGGATAAAATTTTCCCCTTCAAGTGCCAGTGTGCAAACTGTACATTACGGCTTTAAGTTTTCATAGGTACTGCAGTCACACAAACTGTTAATTCGAGCTTAGCTTGTATCAGATCGTTTTGTCCAGTTTAGGTCAAACTAGCCCTGACCTATAAACAAATATGATGATTTTATGGGTTTTCCTTTTTTTTTTTTTATTCTTTTTGACCCTAATGGGGATTTGGGGCTCATGCCAAATTATGTTTAATCCACAGAAATCTGTTTCTCAAAACAGAAACATCTGTAGGCAGATTTTCAACATGTAAATAGATGTTTACTCCACATGTAAGTAATGGGATTATCTCAATCTTGGATTCTATTTTACTATGAATAATTTAGTGCCATTATTTAAGGGTCGTTTAAAATAGTAGCTTTCCTTTTATTGTCACAGAAATCTCGTATCAATATATTTTAGAAATTGTTAGAAAAAGCTAGAGATTAAGGGACTGGGTTTGAGATTAGAGGTTTTAAAGATTTAGTAGCACATATCAAAGTTGAAGAAATAAGGCTGCTCATAGTCTAATGAATGAAGGAAATTTTGGATTTCCAGTTTCTGGATGAAATGAGGTATTCATGAAGTATGAAATGGCTGTTGAATTTTCCTGTGAGTAATAAATTGTTTCTCTGGGCCAGAAAGCCTCATATCTTCTGTCAAAAACTATATGTAAAACAACAGTAGGCTAATTTGTTAATTTACAAATAAGGCTCCTGCTCAGACTCCCCACATTTTGTGATTTAACAATGTACACACACATCAAAATAATTTCAAGATTTAATCATGATATAGGAGCTTCTTTTATACAAAGGTAACTAAAATTGAAACGTTACAATACTTTTGGGCAATAGAAATAAAGCAGCCCTTTTTCTTTTCATGGTACAGGAAGAAACTACCAGCATGTAAGCAAGTCAGGAATTATTTTGGAGCGGATATTTTGCTCAAGAATTCTCAGGTGTGTGTATAATCAGGGTAAATCAAAACTCAACATTTATTAGGTACTAACTATGCGCAGATGTTAGACTGGCAGTGTGAGGAAAAGTGGGCAATGGGAGAAAAATATTGCATTAAAAGGGCATGGGAGTTCACAATCTACAGAAGAGATACATCCCTAAATGATTATGTGAAGTGATAAAAAAGGTATAACACAGAAATATGAGAAATCAGTTATGAAAAGTTAATTTTGAAAATGGGGAGATGAAATATTTGGGGTGAGAGGGAGAATCATGAAATGAGGCTGGGGACTAACAATGAATATCTGGAATATTGAGGGGAAAGTAGAAAACTTTATAATAAAGTGTCATTCCTGCCATCTTATAAGGCACCTAATTCAAAACCCTAATTCTTAGGGCTTTGCTAGAAGATGAACTATTCCTTTTTTTAAAAAAATTCACATATACTACCAGTCTCTTGGGATTCTAGAAGTTCTCATCAAGAATTAATTACTTTGTGGTTTTTTTTTTCATTTATTTATTTATTTATTGAGAGAGAGAGAGAGAGACAAAGAACGAGTGTGAACAGGGAAGGGCAGAAAGAGGGAGAGACAGAATCTCAAGCAGGCTCCATGCTGTGATGGGGCTTGAACTCATGAACTGTGAGATCATGACCCTAAGTTGAGATCAAGAGTCGGATGCTCAACTGACTGAGCCACCCAGGAACCCAAAGAATTAATCATGCTAGTCAGTGTTTTCACACACTATGGAAACTTAAAAATGGTAAACAGATTTAAAATAAAAAGATTTCCAAATTTTGTTAAATAACATTTAGCATTTTAAGGTAAGAAATAATAGAAATTTCATTGTGAAAATTTTTATTAAATTATAGTATATTACAGTTTATGTCCTAATAATAAGATTTTAGGGTAATGTCAAATAAAAACCTACTTGGCCAGATTACTTCTTGAGTTTCTTCTGGGCAGCTTTCTTCTTGACCATCTGTAATCGCTTCATGGCATTGAGCTGTGATTCTTGTGAAGTTGGACCTTTAAGGGATGCTAAGGGAGAGCTGCTTGATTCTGAAGTGGTTTTGCTAGTGGTATTTCCACTGGACCCTGATGTCCCACTATTTCCATTCCCACTGAGTTGGCTGGTGCTTCCTGGAACTAAACTACTCGGACTAGGAAGACCCACTTTGCTAACATTGTCACAACTAACGGAGCGACTAAGGCCAGTTTTGCCCAAAGTTAGAGGTGGAGGTGGTTTCAAGGGTACAGTGGGTGCAGTGTTGTTATTGGAACCTATTTTGGAACCTATTCCACCTTTAGATGATGTCGCCAGACCAGTCAAACCCACAGGCTTCTGGTTAGTTGATGAGGTAGCTGGTTTCCCACTATTGTTTTGGGTTGTTGAACTCAACTTTGCTGTTGATGGACCAGCAGAAGAAGTTTTAGCTGCAAAAGCTGCCCATCCAGTTAGGCCACTAGTTACTGAAGAAGAAACACTGGTACTAGAAGAATTTCCTGAAATAGCCGTGGATGTCTAAAAAACAAGATAAATATTGCTTTAGAGCCAAGTATAATTAATACATAATGTAATATTCTTAAATATATAACAAGTTTAATTTTGGACTTTTTATACAGAAGTAATGGTTTGGGAAATTTAAATCACACCACCAAATTAAGTTCTTATGAAACTGATCTGAAAAAAAAAAAACAAAAAAAACAAAAAACCAAAAAACACAAACATTAAACTTATTCATAGCTAATGGATGCTACCACTTCCAAAGCAGAAATTCTGGGATGCCATATTCTTGTTCTAATGATTCTGAAAAAGAAACGTATGAAATTCCTTTTTGGGAATTGCTTTTAGATTCAGTTACAAGCTCTATCAGAAAAATCAGATTTAATGCTTTAACTTGTTTTTCACCTAAATAAAGTAATATCTAGCTCAGTAAAGCACCTTATTCTTTAGACTTTGCTCCAAATGGCTTGTGGATCATTTCAAAAACAGAATCCACTCTTAATGAATAAAAATGCTCATACCCAGGAAATTTAGAAGATGTCTGAGATAAACAGATTCATTTGATAATTACTTATTGAGTAAATGTGTCAGATTCTGAATTCATTTTTTCAATAATTTTTTTAAGTTTATTTTTGTTTATTTTGAGAGCGAGCAAGTCGGGAAGGGACAGAGAGAGGGAATCAGAATCTTAAGCAGGTTCCTCGCTATCCATACAAGAGCCTGCCGTGGGGCTCAAAGTCACAAACTGTGAGACCATGACGTGAGCCAAAGTCAAGAGTCAGACACTTAACCAACTGAGCCACCCAGGTGCCCTAGAATCTGTTTTTTTTTTAAATGTTCCAATACCAATTTTGAGTAAATAGCTCCTGCATTGCAAAATACATACAGATTTGCGATGTTAACTATTTGTAATTATACAGCTCTGGTGATATATTAAAAAGGTTTCATAACTTTATTTCCACAATTTGTTCAGGTTTCCATTGAAACTATCACATAAGAAGAGATCCCTGCTCTGTATAAAGGATTTTATTAACTGCCTTAAGAGCTGCACAGTGACATTTAGGTAGGTCTGACTCACTCCCAGATGAATTTCTTAAAGATTTAACACCTTAGTTTCTCTGATTAGCTTCACTGGCCAATCAAAAGCTAACAGTGATACCAGCGTCACTATATAAATAAATATTGCTCTCATTCACATGAGGACAAATTTGTTTCACCTTCACACTGGGCAAAAATGTACTTTGTTCAAATTAATTATAAACTGAACTTCTCACCAGCATGCTCTCTACCTTTATATTCTTAAGAAGAGTCACAAAAGTGTTAAATTTATTACAGGTAAAAGATTAAGTCTTACAAACACGAATTTACTTATCAATATGGTAATTACCATGCCTAAAATATATGCTGTTATACTTTAAACCTGAACTCTGGGAGAGGTGGTAAAAAACATTTTTACTTCTTACAAGGTAGCCTTCAATACCATCTGCATGTGAACATTTTTAACCCATGTGAAAAGTAATCAGAATAGAGTGCTGAGATATTTATAAGAGGAAAAGCCCAGATTTTTGTTCACGTTCTCTGAAAAACAATAGGATTTTTTCACATTATACATTACACAGTAACTTTCTCGTAAGATTATCCAGAGAAGATAAACCACACATAAATTACAAATTCCTAGAGGAATGCACACAGGTAATGAGAAAAAATTAGTAAAGAAAGCAAAAGGACACAAGTGCAGTAAACTTAATTTTCAGTTATGAAAAAATCTAATTTTTTCCTTTTCTATTAAACACAAAACTGTTTGCCATATGGCTAAATGATCTTTCAACAAACATCACAAAAGAAAACCCATCTGAAGTAATTAAAAAGACCAACACTTATGAAGTACAAACAGAAAGCAAGTTCTGTGTTCATAGCATTTTAGTTTAATGGCTTGCTGTTACTGGTATTGCTTTTCCACAGAATGACAGATGGCTTATAATACTATCAGGACAAGCAAAAGTAAAAACAACACCAATAATCCAGACCAAGTAATTTCTTAGTCTTTCAGTAAAGAAAATAAATTTCTCAACTATTCCTCAATTTTTACTGTAAGTAAAAACTACCCATTATCTTAGTTAGAAAGCCATTTGCTTTTTAATATGTGAATGGAACCATTTTTTTTCCATAGTAAAAAAATGTATTAACTTTTATCATAAAAATACCAAAACCTTTAAATCAGAATCAACATGACAGCCAAGGCCTTAACTTATTTGCCATAAAACGATTTCATGTTGGATTTTTTTTTTCAACTGTTTATTTATTTCTGAGAGAGAGAGAGAGAGAGAGAGAGAGAGAGAGAGAAAGAGAGAGTGAGCGGGGGAAGGGCAGAGGGAGAGGGAGACACAGAATCTGAAGGAGTGCCAGGCTCTGAGCTGTCAGCACAGAGCCTGATGCGGGGCTCGAACCCATAAACCCTGAGATCATGATCTGAGCCGAAGACAGATGCTCAGCCAACTGAGCCACCCAGGCGTCCCTCAAGTAAGTATTTTTTAGTCAATTAAATTAAAATCCAATCTTAGAAAAAAATGGAATGTACTGTACCTTGACCTCTGTTCTCTTAAATGCTAGAAAAGTTGTCTCTTGTTTGAGTTTAGTTTCTGGTTTCTTAACCAATGGATCTTTGACAGCTGGAGCTACAGAAACAACTGTGGGGGCTGGTTTCTGGGGTGGTTTCTGAGTTTTTTGAGCCTGTAAAAAATCGGTGGATTAAATTAGATACAAAATATTAACTGAATGCACACACACACAAAAAAGACTAAAAATCCGTCACAGGACTCCTCATTGAATGGAAGTATAGTTGAACATTTACAAAATATTGTGGTGACACTGAAAATACAGATTCTTGGACAAATTATTTTTTATCATCATCCTATGAATGGTTTTATATATTTTATTCATTTCTAAACAGTAAAGATAATATTAAGCCTTAGAAATTATGCAGATGAGGGCTGATTAAATACCATTTTAACAAGGCAAAACAAATTGTTTCTTTAAAAAAAGAAAATCACAAACTATTTGTAACCAGTTAGCTTCACTTGTAATGAAGGGTATTTATCTATTATAGTTGGTCAATAAGACTTAGAAGAGTGTTTTTCTTGATATTCAGATACATGTCTCTAAGTAACTGAGGGTGAGTTGAAAGGTACTTTGGATCAATTATGCAGTTTTAAATACAGAAAATACAGAATGTGGATAAAGAACTATTGTTGATAAATAAGTATCTTTCTGAAGTTTTTCCACACTACAGAACTAAGCATATTAAACTCTTTGAGAAAGTTCACAAATACAACTTTCTATGTTATCAAAGATGAATCTATACTCCCCATTCCTTTATAAGCATTTTTGGTTTTTATTTTGACCAATAATTGATTTTTTCCTTTTTTTTTTTGTAACTTGGTATTTTATTACATTCTCTTCCAAATAAAGTGGGTTATGAAGATGATTTATGTTATGTAAGAGTCTAGTACAGTGTCTGGCACATGTTGACTGCTGACAGTCATAGTTAATTAGACAACTGAATCTGGAAAAACCCATGCATCCTGGATGGGGAAAGATGCTCCGAGCCAGTCCATTGTCTTTGACAATCCTAAGATCATGTGGGACTATATCAGGAAATTTATAAATAGTCCGTTCCCATTTCTGGAAATTGGAATGCAGCCTGTTTTGTCTGGGCATTCTTGTGTAATCTTCTCGTGTTATGGTTTACTTTACCATATGATTTTGATCCTTAAGTTTCAATTCATCCCATTTTTTAATATTACATGCTTTCCATAATGAAAGTGTATCTACTTTCAAACATCACTTATAAAGCAACATTCAGATCAAGAGTATTATTAAGGATGCTAGAAGACTACCTGTGGTAAAATATCTCAACTAGCAGTGAAGAAGGGCCATATTATCCTCTATTACAAAACCATGTTATGAGAATGCAGCCCTCAGAGTAAATAAAAAATACATGGTTCCATAACCATGGCTTTCATGCTTACATTTCCTTCAACCCACATCTTCCAGAGGTCAAACTCTGAAGACTGACCTAACTTGTATGCATTAGCAGATGAAGATTCATTATAATGCGGCCAAGAAAAGGCCTCTACATAGAAGATCATGTTTGGATCTTCTGGTTCCTCTATATCACCTAGCCATCTTAGAAGTTGAGTAAGAAACACCCAAAGCCCTTGGTTCTTTGATGGTAAATACTAGTTTTGGGAACTAGGATATTATTACTGACTTGGTGCTGCTCAACAAGGTACTATAATTTTTCATTGGGTGACTGCTTCACACATTGCAGAATGTATGAAATTCCCCACCCAGGACAATAATTGCCAGTATGGCAGCAATCAAAAATACCATGTATTGCTAAATGCTACTGAGTAGGTGTGTTACTACCCTAGATTGAAAACCAATTCAGTAAGTCATATGAATCTCCAACATAGCACTGGGGCAAAACCCATTACGTGGTAAAGAGAACATTATAGAACTGAAGAATGATCTTGGAACCTGCCACACACTATCACAACATTCTTAACTAGGTCTTCCTATAATAATGTGTACTGCGGAACCTGCCCTAGTTGGAGAAATTAGTGTGAGGAGAATGGGGATATAAGATGCTATTTATAGTATCTCTAAAATTCCTTGGAGCAATAACCAATGCACGTATCGGAACCTCACTGAAAGCAATTATAGTTAGAATGACTAGGTGTAGCACCCACACTATTTCCAAATTCCTTTCTCTCATTATTTTGTGTTTATTGGATCCTGATCTTTAGGCTCACTTCAGATCATGGCTTTTGGTATTTCTCCAAGTCTATTCTTAGTGAATTCTAATCATGTTTTAACATTAGTTATGGCTCTCCATTCAGTACTTTAACCGTTGGACATATGGACTAAACTTACTATTTCTGGTACTAACCCACATTTCCTCCATTTTATATACCTTAAACTGAGAACAAAAGAATGTAGCACATGTCTAGTCCTGAGCTCTGCTCTGGTGCTATGCCAATGAATGAGACATGGTCTTACTGATCAAATTGATTATACATTTAATTTGTAAAGCAGATAAAGAACAAACGATACCTGAGATGAAGAAAAGCAGAGAATGGAACAGGAAAGCTCACCACATAATCAGGGAATGATACATTTAGTCTGGCATGGCCAGAGTGTACGGGTGTATACGGTGAAGTGGTGGGAGAAAGGAATACAAAGACAGACTTGGGTCAAAGAGAGAAGGTCCGTAAATTCCCCCTAATGTGTATAATCTCATTATATAAGTAATTGAGAGCCATTGGGCATATTTAAGTAGATAAAATTAGATAAGTACTTTAGAAGAATAATTCTAATTGTTTTAACTGAAGTGAATAAAGTGGATTGAAAGGAAGCGAGGAACCTCCTTAAGAGGCTAAAGCAACAGACAAGAAGTGAGGGATTTGTGGAACAAGGTAATAATGGGCAAAATGAACAGAGTCAAGAAATGGATAAGAGGAAGAACCAGCAAATTTGGTGAACAAAGTAATATGGAATTAAGAGGGGCATCAAGGATAATGTTTTCTCATTCAGGCAACTGGGGGAAAAACTGAGTGGAGAAGAAAATTTCAATTTTAAAGATGTTAAACTTAAAGTTACTGTAGGATATCGGGTCAGCTGCCGAAATTCATTCCAGAAACAGGGTCAGAACCATAAACATACATTTGGTGCAAACTAAGTCATATAAAATGGAGGAGAAAATACTTTGAGAGTAGTGTTTACTTACTTGAGACTTTACAATAAAATAACAGTAAAAAAAAAAAACCTTAAAGTATACTAAAGAAAGACATTATGGTCACAAATTATTTATTTTTACTATTATCAATTCTTAGTGACTACTTCTGTCAGTGCCCTGTATATTGCTCACCCATAATCATTTGGTTGAGGTCCTGGAAGACTAGTTTAAACAATAAACTAAATAAAAATCAGACTAAGAAAAATTATACCTTGTCACAGAAAATCCCTGTTACAAACTGAAAGTATAACATACTAGTGAAATTAATAGGAAATAACATTTCATATTATATATATATTTAATGTTTATTTTTTGAGACAGAGAAAAAGGCAGAGCTGAGTGGTGAGGGTCAGAGAGAGGGAGACACAGAATCTGAAGCAGGCTCCAGGCTCCAAGCTGTGAGCACAGAGCCTGACGCAGGATTTGAACCCACAAACTGCGAGATCATGACCTGAGCGGAAATCAGACACTCAACCGACTGAACCACCCAGGTGCCCCAAACATTTCCTATTTCTGATTTAACTGACTGAAAAGTAAAATAGGTATCATGAATTTTTACTTTTAACTAAATATTCCTAACTTTAAAAAAGATACATTTGGCCAGAAAAGTCTATGTAGAAATTTTTTGGTTAACAGACATGAAAATTCTTCTATCAAGAATCCCTACTCTAAGGGAAGGAAGAAGAGGAGAAGCAAATAAGTCACTGGATTGATTTAAAGGAAAATGAAATTCATTTATTTATTTTTTAAATGAATAAAAGTTACAATGCTATCCAATATAACAAACGGAAACGCATTTCAGTATGATGTTAAAGGCAGTTATGTTAGTGAGCAGTAGAAAGAGAAAGTACATTGGGAAAATGAGATAAATGGCCACTCAAAGAAATGAGAAGGAAAAGACAGAAGAATAGAGTAACACACATGGAAAGACACAGATGCATATACAAATAATGTCTCTGTAAACAGCTTGTGAGTTTGATGGTTTCAGCCACTCAGGAACAGACATTTTCAAAATGTCCTTACCAGACTCACCAAAGACCAGGGCTTTATATTTCACCATTTCCCACAGTGGTTTGTAGTATTTCTAAATGTTTGTAAATACACTGACATACTAGTAACAAACATTAATATTTTGTGAGTCTCTAATCTTGTTTATCTATAATAGAATAAGCTAAAAGCTGAACAGAGAAAAATGGAGACCATAGATACATAAATCATACATATACACTATACATACGAACACTTAAATAATCAGTATTTGTAATTTTTTTTTCAACTAACTTAAAGGTTCAAATGTTTATTTTGAAAGCAATTATCAGCAAAAAAATGACAGAGACCATTTAAAATAGAGAAAAAAAAGATTCTTACCATTCTTTTCATTTGTCTGGTACATCGGGCACAATACCACACAAGGCGAGGGTCATTCACTTCCTTGTCTGTCACCTGAGGCTTATGGCAGTCTTGGTGGTAGAGATTATGGCACTCCTGACATTCTACTAATTGATTTCCAGATGCCACCGTCATTTGCCTAAGAAAATAACCATTAAACACTGCACTTATTTGAATGCAACAATTTGAAGCCATTTTAGGGTTGATTTTGTAAATGTGATATATTAAAGAAGGTGAACACCAAACAAGAAAATAATAAGCTCTAACATGTAGCCTGCACATATTAGGGTTTTTAAAGCTTGTGCTCAACTATGACTACAAGGTGCCTCAGTAACTGAATTTGGCTATATTCTCTTTGCCATTTCACACTGTAATTTTTTTCTTTTTCCCAGAAAGTAGACTTTGGCTAGTTGTCCAACAGTCTCATATTTTCTCTATACTTCTATTATATTCCTTTATATCTGTTACCTACATGCTGTTCTTTCTTCTTCATTAACATACAAGTTCATTAAAAATAAGTTGTCTATATATTTAAATTGATTTATATATAAAGGTGGAAATAGGACCCAATTATCTACAGTGTTTAGCATATTGCTGTGCAAATATGGGTGTTCAATAAATACATGTGTTATCAGCTGAATAGGACGTGTATCAATAAAATATAAATTCTAGGGCGCCTGGGTGGCTGACTCTTGATTTCGGTTCAAGTCATGTTCTTGTGGTTTGTCATATCAAGCCCTGTGCCAGGGTCTGCGCTGACAGTGTGGAGCCTGCTTGGAATTCTCTCTCACCTTCTCTCTGTCCCTCCCCCACTCTCTCTCTCAAAATAAATAAAAACTTATATTTATATATATACATATATATATATGAATTCCAACAGCTCAAAAAGCAATCACCACAGACTTAGACTATCATAAGAACTCTCCAAATGGAAGGTTACAGTTACTAGTTCTCTTTCCATTATTACTATACCATTTATTTCTTATTTAAAAGTGATAAACTTTATGGTAGATGAAGGTTGAAATAAATATATGTGAAAACAATGAAGCTGTAACAAATGTTTCTATTCAGAAACACATTAACTCATTCTCTACAAGGCTCACAAAAACTTAGTTATTTACTCAGTTCCAATGCACCAGAATCTAACATTTTCATGAAGAAAACAGCAACAAAGATGGTAATCTTTTCTGTTGTGCTAGGCAGTAAAAACCATTAACAATTAAAAATATAGCCCTTTGCAACAAGGAGTTTCAAATTCAGTTATTCAGATTTCTACAGTGCATCTTCTAATAAGCAAAATTATTCATGTTTTTATAATTATGTATCCATGTTTTAAAACAACACTCAGAATAATCTACGTGATTCATTTACTTCTTTTCCATTATTTCTAGGAAATGATTTTATGGTGTTTAGAAAATGATGTATAACAGCCTATTTTATAAGTACTATCAACAATTCAGAAGGAAAAATAAAGCAACACAGACTTCTTAAAAAGAACAGAAATAAGTGACTCTGCTAAATACTCTTCATCACTAAAGAATAACACAATAATTGGTTTCCCTCTAGAACCCAAGAATGCAGAAAATGCTGCTATGACATAATAGATTAAAGATGCCACAGTAAGAAAGATAAAATATTTAATAGTTTTCAAGATGTTAAATTGTTATATGGGGCAGTTCACAGAGAATAATTTACTCATCTATCTACTACCCACCACCAAATAATAAAAACAAAAGAAAAACACCCAACAATTGGTCTGATTTTTTTTTCTTTTTGTTTGTTCTTCATGAAAACAAAAGAACCTGTGAAAACTTACCTACAAACAACACAGGCCAATCCCATCTCCATGGCAAAATCATCAGCACTGGTCTCCTCAAAACTGGAAAGGTCAGCCATAGCTAAATCCTTGCTAGTTTGGACAGTAATAGGAGAGGACCGTGTCTCTGGTTTCTCCAATCTAGGTTTCTTTGGAATATCAACTCCTTCAGTGATGTCTGATTTCATCTATAAAAAGCACCCAATTAGTAAGTAACATGTTAGAATAAACTTTAAATCACTGAGATGGATAAGACAGACACTGCACAATGACCAAGTCCACTTGATAGATATTTTGACATAGATAGTTAGGGGCAGATATAAACACTAAAGATCTGTAGAAGACTTATAATAAATTCATCATCAATACATTAAAAGAAACCAGCAAGGTAGAAATAAAAATCAGAACATTTTAGCATGTAACTGTATTTGTCTTTTTATTCTTTTATCCATTAAAGAATTTTGGAAGCTCAATGGATTTACTTATATGCCCTGAGAAGCCACAGCACTAACAAGGCTATTTTTAAGGGTACTTTTTATTTTAAATATTTTAAATTATAAACTACCAATATTTAAAACATATTGAAACGAAGTAAATAGCAAACCATCTACCAGTTATCCAGATATTGCCATATTTACTTCAAAGCAAATTCTGGCTCCTCTCTTTAAGATATAAATGTTATAGATGTATCTGTCAGATTGGCAACAATTAAAAAGTCTGGGAAGACATGGAGAATTTGCAATTCTTATACTTTATTCGTGAGAATATAAATTTAGTACATGCACTTTGGATAGTAATTGGCAATGTCTAGTAATGTTGAAGAGGTACCTATCCTATTACATCCATTAACGGATATGCATCCTATAGAAACTATCACCATGTGCACAAAGAATTTATCTTTAAAGCAGCTCACTGAAGCTCCATTGTACTAGAAAAAAAAGAGAAATAAACTAACTCCTCATCAGTAGGGAAATGGATAAACTGATTTACTTACTGAATAAATGTTACATGGTAGCTGAAAGAAATAGATCTTCATGTATCAACACAGATGAATTTCTTTTTTTTTTTTTTTTTT